AAAATTTGGTGAGGGTAGACCTCATGTTAAATGCTCTTACCACAAGAAAAAATAAATTAATAAATAAATGTATTGAGATTTGTGTCATGGTCCACAAAGTGGTCTATCATGATATTCTGTGTGTACTTGAAAAGAGTGTATATCCTGCTGCTGTTGGTTGGTAAGTTCTATAAATGTTAATTAGGTCAATTTGGTTGATAGTGTTCTTCAAGTCTACAATATATTTGCTGATTTTTTGCTTACTTTTTCTATCAACTATTGAGAGAGAGGTATTGAAATCTGACAATATTGTGAACTTATCCTTTCAGTTCTATCAACTTTCACTTAAGTATTTTGAAGCTCTTTTAATTAGGTGCCTACATATTTAGGATTATGTCAATTGATCCTTGTATTATTACTAACTGCCTGTCTTCAACCCTGTCTTTATAGTCATTGCTCTGAATTCTACTGCCATTCTAGGTTTTTGTTTGTTTGTTTACTAATAGTAGCATGGTATAACTTCTCCCATTTTTTAAAACTTTTAACCTATTTGTTTTCACATTTAAAGTATATTTCTTGTAGGCATCATGTAATTGAGTCTTGATTTTTTTTTTATCCAGTCTGACAAGCTCTCCCTTTTAACTGGGATTTTTAGACATTAATATGATTATTGCTTTTGTTATGTTTGAGTCTATCATCTCATTATTTGTTTTCTATTTATTTTGTTTCCATTTGTTATTTCCATTTGTTCTTTCTTTTTTCCTCTTTTCTGCCTTTTTTTGAATTTTTACGTCTGGCTAGTGAGAAGAGTTACTATTACTAGCCTTTTATAAGCACCAGGCACTATTCCCTTTAATCCTTTCAGATGGTTCTTTTCCTGACCTCAGGCAGTTTCTGTGCATGCATGACCTGATCGGCACTCTGATGAGTATTCCACGGAGACCGACAGATCTCTGGGGTTCACCTGCTATGCAGTTCTACCCTCTCTGGTCTTCTCTTCTATGAACTCTAGCTGCTCTGGTTTCCCCACTCTAACCTCTGTCTCCTCAACTCAGAAACTTTCAAGTTCTGCTTCAGTTCCCCTCCCTATGCCACAGTCTGGAAACCCTCTGAGGCAGTAAGCTTGGGCAATTGTAGGACTCACCTTGTTTGTTTCCTATGTCTCAGGAATTACTGTCCTTCACCTGATGTCCAGTGTCTTGAAAACTGCAGCTTCATGTATTTTGTCTTATTTTTTTAATGTTGTTTCAGGAAAGAAAGTAAATACGGTCCATGTTACTCCCCATCTTGGTTAGAAGTGCAAGTGCTCACTACCCAATTTTTAAAAATTACTCTAAAACACCAATAATCAAGACTTCAGTATTGGTGAAGGACAAATATATAAATCAATGGGACATAATAGAGAGTCCAGAAATAGAGCCAAAGAAATAGGCAAACTGATTTTTGTCAAAGGTGCAAAGACAATTCAATAAAGGTAAAGTTTTCAACAATGGTGTTGAAACCACTGGACATTCATATGCATTAAAAATAAACCTCAACCTAAATATCACAACCTGTACAAATATTAACCCAAAATGGATCATGAATCTAAATATAAGACATATAACTACAGAACTTTTAGAAGGAAACATAGGAGAAAATCTTCATGACTAAGGATTAGGCAAAAGACTTCTTAGATGACACCTAAATCATGATTCATAAAAGAAAAAAAACTGATTTTTTAAAAAAATTTAAAAATACAAAAAATACTGTTATGAGAATTAAAAGCTACAGAGAGAAAAATAAATTTTTAATCACATATCTGACAAAGAACTTGTATTCCAAAAATATAATGAAATCCCCAAACTCAACAGTAAGAAAACAAATGATTTAATTTTTAAATGGTCAAAACACTTAGACAGGTACTTCACCAAAGATGGAGGGTGACTGCTAGAGGCTGAATGTTTGTGTGCCCTCAAAATTCTTATGTTGAAATTCTAATGCCCAATGTGATGATATTAGGAATCTTTCTGGGACCTTTGGCAGGTGATTAGACGATGAGGGCTGAGCCCTTATGAATGAGATTAGTGCCTTTAAAATCCCCTTCTACCATGTGAAGACACAGTAAGAAGTCAGCAATCTGCAAGCAGGAAGAGGGCTTGCACCCAAACTCAACCATGTTGGCACCTTGATCTTGGCCTTCCAGGCTCCAGAGCTATGAGAAATAAATTTTGGTTGTTTACAAGCCACACAATTTGTAGTATTTTGTTATAGCATCCTAAAGAGACTAAGAGAGCACATGAAAAGATGGTCAATATTAATAGCCATTAGAGACATACAACTTAAAACAATGATCAGATGCTATCACACACCTAATAGAATGATGAAAATAAAATATACTAGCAATAGTAAGTACTGTCAAGTATGTGGAGCAACCAAGAACTCTAAGACATCGCTGGTAGGAATGAAAAATGGTATAGCCACTCTGGAAAACAGTTTGGCAGTTTCTTATAAAATAAAACATACACTTACCATATGATCCAGCAATCCCAGTCCTAGGTATTTACTCAAGAAATGGAAACATATTTCCACACAAAATACTGTACACAAATGTTTAGCTGTTTTACTTATAATCACACACACACACACACAAAATGGAAAACAATCTAAATACCATTTGACAAGTAAATGGTTAAAAACAAAATGTGGCACATTCTATACAATGGAATACTACTCACGATAAAAAGAAATGAACTTCGATATACACAACTTGGATCACTCTTAAAGGCATTATGATGAGTGAAAGAAACCAGACCCAAAAGGTTACACACTGTATGATTTATTTAAATGATATTCTCAAAAGGAGAAAGCTAGAAATGTCAGAGAACAGACCAATGGCTGGCAGGTGTTAAGGGTATATAACTACAAAGGGGTAGCATGAGGGAGTTTTGGAGGTGATGGAACTGTATCTTGATTGTGGTGGAAGTTACATAAATCTGTACATGTGTTAAAATTCATAAAGCTATACATCTAAGAAAAATTTGATTTTACTGTTTGTTAATTCTAGAAGTTAAATAAATTTTTTAAAACATTTACAGTAAACCTAACACTGAATGATGACACAACTAATTGGCCAAACAGATATTCTGAGAAGAGTAGGCAGAGTGAATAGCTAAAACTAGTCTCTGATGCTAGAAGGTGCCTGGTATATTCAAGGAATAGTGAGGAGGTCAATGTGGCTAAAGTGGAATGAGCAGAGGAGGAGAGTAGAGTAGAGAAGTTCAGAGATGTAATGGGGGACCAGATCATAAAAGGTGCTTATACCATTATAAGGACTTTAGCTTTGAGCGAAATGGGGAGTCGCTGAAGGGTTTTGAGCAACAGAGTAATATGAACTGATTTAATGTTTTTAAAGGACTACTGATTTCTGTGTTGAAAACAGATTGGTGGCATGAGGAACAGGAGAAAAGGGAAGACATCTTAGGAATGATGGTGGCTCAGTCCAGAGTAGTTATGACACATGTGGTGAGAAACAGCTGGAGTCTAGATATATTTTGAAGGTGAAGCCAAGAAAATTTTCTGATGGATTAGTTTGAGAGAAATAAAGGAATCATGGATGACTCCAAGTTTTCTGGCCTGAACAACCAAAAGAATGAAACTGGCATCAATTGAAAATAGGACAGCTTTAAGTGGAATAGATTGTGGGGAAAGAACTGTAGTTCAATTTTGAATATACAGAATTTGACATTTTATTAGACAGCCAAGTAGAAATTCATTTTTGGCTAGAAAGACCATGATGCATCCAGTGGCCCTGGCTATACTGACTGCACTGTATGGTCCTCTGGGTAGAGAGGAATCATGGAGAATTCAGGAGCATAGTGAGGATCTGTGCTGCGGGAAGCTTATTCAGACTGAGAGGTGTGGCCACTTGTGAATTATGTGTCCAGTTTTTCACCCTGGTGTTGATTCAGGGGTTAAGTTCATTTGACTTATTCCTTAACACTTTCTCTGTCTCAGAATATAAGGTTTTAAATGGTGAAGAATGAGTCTCTGAGCATAAATTCTTAAATGAACATGCCTTTTCTTGAAGTACTCATTTGAGATTATTCTTTCCTTATTGTCTATCTTTGCTGTAATTGGTAGAGTGAAGCTGGGTTGTTCAGTGGATGCAATAATGCAGTACCATCATGCAGTGTCCTGAGAACAAAAGGTCCACGGCTACATATTCTATTAATAAGCAAAGGATTTTATATAAAAACACGTCTTGGGATTTTCCCCATTCCCCTATCGTAATAAGGCAATTTTTTTTTGAGGGGGAGGTATTGATATGAGGCCATCACCTTCTATTGCAATTTAGTATTCTTCAAAGTGTATGAAATTCATTAATATCTCAAGGGGTATTGTTGATCATTGTTACCTTAGTCCTATTATATAGTGTCAGAAATAACAAAATTTTAATGATTTAACAGAACTTCATTTAATAAGTATGTTTAAAGTTCATCTCTTCCAAAAAACAGCATTTTAATTACATTCAAATTGTGTTCATCTTAAATATCAACAAACTCATCATTTACATACAGGGATATATATTAGAAAACAGATGGAAATTAAAACAACTTCTATTTTTTAGAAGTTCTTACTTCCAAATTAGGACACTGTGAACTGCTAAATATGTACCTAAACAAAATGTATCCATTATCAGAAAACCACAACTTGCTCTAATAGGAAAAGAAGTGTAATACGCATATAGTGGAACATAATTCACATAGGCTTAATTTACAGTTATGTTTCAAAGTATAAAACAAACAAAAATCCTGTACCTACAAATACAGGCAAAAGTCACAGCCGACATTTTAAACTAATGCACCAACATATAATGCTCTCCCAGAGAAAGTAGAAGAGTTCCCAAGATTTTATGTTGACCCATGATTTTTCACTTCTTTGTTGTCAAATACAGAAGCAGAGGACTTAGAGTTTTCTTTTTGTCTTTAAATCATATTCATGTTGGTTTTTTGTTACATGGCAATGACCCAACTGCATCATGAGAAGTGCTATCAAACCTGTTCTATTTAGAACTCAGTAACCAAGACATTTCTTTGATTTCTCCCTGTACCTCTATTTCCCTTCAGAAAGCGTCTAAGGAAACTTCATAGACAATTGTGGTAAAGAGAGCAAACCAAATAATTCTGAGATGGCAAAGAAATACATGAGAGTTGGCACTAACATGGGTTTACAAAAAGTTATCCACCATTTATTAAACCACAAATGCAAAAAAAGAGAAATCTTACCTGGAAACATAAGTAGAATAAAAAGTACTAGAAAACAAATAGAAGGCATTTAGAATTGTGGCGTTTGGAGGCTTCAGTTTGGAAGACATAGAGAAACCAAGCTACCAGTAACTGTTAAGAGCATTTCTTTTCAACTTGTATAATTTACTTAAATTTTTAACCTGTCTAAATCAACTTTCTCTAGCCAAAACAAAGAGATCATAATCACTGTTTTTATATCAGAGATGTGTGACGACTGTAATGTAGGAGAAAAGAATGTTTGGGACACATCAGGTTAAAAGAGGTAGCACCAGGAATAAAACTAAGCACTTAATCTGATCTGATCAAAGTCAGGGAGGAATTCTGCCTTTCTTCAATTTTTACTGCATTTCATAGTTGCAAAAAAAGAACATCCTTTCTTTTTTTTTCTTCCTTAATGTGCCTCAGGTTAAAAATGGCACAATGAATAGTCCTTAATCAGCACACATTATTTTTGAAAGGGACATTTTTAGATTTTGGTCATTTGCTTTTCTTTGCTTGTTTTTTAATGATAAATCTTTAGAGTTGACTCTTCTAAAATGTTGCTCAGATGGACAGATATAGTCAGACCTTTCTTAAAAGTAAACAATTTACTCTGCGTTAAAAAAAATCACCAATAAGAGTTCTAAGTCAGTGTTTCAAACAAATGAAATGTTTAACTTCAAATTAAGTATGTTTAACTGCTATTGTGTTAAATAATGAAACTAACTCTATTTCATTCAATTATAAACATATTAACAAACATATAATCATTCCCTATGATCACTATAAAAATTAAATTATCCTTTTCTCTTTTATATGAAGATGGTGGTTCTAAAGCAACACTTTCAACCAGAAAAGCCCATTCAGAATAACACACAACCCCATTTCAGTTTTTGGAAGTCAGTGCATTCAGTGGTTATGAGTAGGCATGATGTTCTTCTGAAGCTAAGAAGTCTGGAAGGGTTAAAAAAAAAGAAGAAGAAGAGGAAGAAAAAGAAGAAAAAAAGAAAAGATAAATAATCTGAAAGATATCCTTAATGATCACAAATACTGCCAGTACTCAAAGTCAAGTATGGTATAACCTGAATGTCAATCAGTTGTGGTTTTTTCTCCCAATGAAAGGCGTTCCCATAACTGGAGCAACTGTTCACCAACCTGAGGTTCTAGTTCCTAGATAAACCAAAAGTCAGAATAAACATAAAAAGGACTAGACTGAATTTTTTATCATCAAAACCTATACTGATAAAAATGTAAGAAAATCAAATCAAATTCCATGTTTCTACAAGAACATGCTAAACTCCTATGTTATGCATTGCTCTAATTCTTTTCGTTAAGATTCAGAATTGACTTCCAGATTTCCAAGACTGTAGTTAACCTGCAAATATTGCAACTCTCTGTGACAAAATGGTAAGAAATTTCCAGGGAGTTCTTCTGCAATTTTTTCTATCTGGAAATAATGAATTTTGTTTTCATGGAGATTTAGCAAAAGCACTCAGCTTAAACTTCCAAAGGTTTATGGTGATACTTAGCATATTAGATGTTTGGGGTATTTTTCTCAAGAAACTATCTTGGATGACTATAAGGAATGTGACTTATTTCAAAATCATTATTATAGAATAAAAATGAAAATATTTTTATATATTTGAAAAGAGCATTTATAGTCCCCTTGTGACATCATGTGCACTTAAAAGGAACCCTAACACTTTTCATATGGTGATTTGATCTGAGTCACACTCGTTCAAATAAAGTATTAGATGTGACCTTAGGCAAGACTAGATAGATTCTCTGAATCTATTTTCTCCTATAAAATATTTGGCTAATAACTCATTTTAGGCCTAAGAATTGAACTACCTCATATAAAGAAGCTAGCCCAGTAGTCAATATATCAATATATGTTAATTCCCACCACCTTAACTAGTTTAAAATACATAGCAGCATCATGAAGGCAAAGCAAAGCATAATAAAAATAAAACAAGCCACAAAAATATTAAAAGGTTATTATTTATGTTATATCATTAGTTAAAGCCATAAAGAACTTAGATACTGTTGTTATCCTTAGACTTTAGTGAAATAACTTCAGAATTACACTAGGTTTTGATCATATCTTTAGTTAAACAGGAACCTCCAAGAATTGACTTATGAAAGATTTTATATATGCAATGACAGAGCAAAGTCAAATTTACAAAATGTTAAAAAAAAACAGTGAGCTCTGTCAGGCACATTTGAAAGTAGGCTTTTAACTAGCACTTTTACAAATCTGAACCATTATCTCCCCATGTGCACATAGAATATACGATTTGTATTCTTGCATTTGCTCCTCAAACAAATCACTGAATAACAGCCAAACAAAACAAAAAGAAGAGTGGAAGAAAAATATTAAATGCCATTGCATACCTGCCCATCTCTGCTTATCTGGACTTTCTTGTTGTCATTCCAAGGATTGAGTAAATGGTGTGCAAACTGAAAGGGAAGACTTTCTTTTCGTATCCACTCCACCTTAAACACTCCTCCTAGTCCAGCTGAACCCCAGTCCTGACTCTTCTCCCTTCCTATCTCAGAAGACATTCTAGAAAATCCCTGTGGGTAAAATGAGGGGAAATGGTGAAGGTGAGGATGACATTAAGACTCTGAATTCAATTTATCTGAGAAACTCTGAGTTTTTTTTTTTTATTTTAAGGTAAAAATGTAATATAAAAATAATATATAACAAAAATCCAGAAAGCCACCATTGTTTTTTATAAAAAGATGAATTAGCAAATTTTAGAGGAGAGACCAATTCCAGCCTTCTAATATAATTTCAAATACAAACAGATATTTTCTAAATAATATATCATAGTTCTAAACCCACCTTTATCCATTACAAATGGATACAATGTAACTTCTGGGTTTTTAATTCCAAAAATGATAATAATATCAAATAATAATTCATTATTTTATAAATTCAGATATACATCAAATAAAGATGAGTTAAGAAACACACTCAGTTTCCTGACAGTCAAAACTAATCTCTTTGGCCTATTTAAAATAAACATTTTATCAAAAAGTCACGCTTCTCATTACTTTTAATCCACCTGAGAAATAGTAAATCTAAAGTTGTCTCAAAAGGAAAAATTGTTTATCTGGAAAAGCTCTGGTAAAACAAGGCAAAAGTAAAGGGATCCCTATACATCATTCCTTTGAAGAGGTGCAATATATTCCTCATCCAAGCACAATGCATTCTTGCATTCCAATGCAATAAAAAGCCAGCTTCTTTTTAACCTCTATGATTTAAATGATCTAATCTGCAGACAGAAGAACAATGCCCTTTTACTGCTTCAGGATGGCTCACCTGGAAATGTCCAGATCCTTGAACAGAAAATATCAAGTAAACCATGCTGCTTTCCCAAAAGGCTCGGTTTAGCTTCCTCTCATTACTAGAGGTTGTAGACCAGATACCCTTCTGTTGAGAAATTTCAAGGTTTCTCAGATTGCTACTCTTCATTATGAAGTATCGAATAGGCATGTTTGGTCTTGGTGAAGGAGATTTTGAGCCCTAAAAAAGGAAGTATAAATTCTTGAAAGGTAATTTGACCTTTCAAAATCAATAGGCTCCATTAAACATCTTCATAAATATATAAACCAAAATATTTTACCAAACAGTCAACAAATGCAAATAGCTCTATCATGCCTGAAAACCTACACAAGGCTCAATCAAAATGAGGTTAAAGAGCCAAAACCAAGCACTCATTTTCAGAGTATTCAAAATCCCTTATCAAGAAAGGATCCTGGGCTTCCCTGGTGGCGCAGTGGTTGAGAGTCCGCCTGCTGATGCAGGGGACACGGGTTTGTGCCCTGGTCCGGGAAGATCTCACATGCCACGGAGCGGCTGGGCCCGTGAGCCATGGCCGCTGAGCCTGCGCATCCAGAGCCTGTGCTCCACAACGGGAGAGGCCACAACAGTGAGAGGCCCACACACCACAAAAAAAGAAAGACAGAAAGAAAGAAAGGATCCTGGTTTGCCAACTTTGATTTACACTCCAAATGTACTTTCAGAAAATATTTTAATAAACTTGTGAAGTCTGAAAACAAAACAAAAATTGCTCCAGCTTACCGCCTCGATACAGTTTCCAGGAAATGCGGGAAGGGAAACACAAACAGAATCCAATGGTCTCACTGAATTGCAGACATAGACCTTAGAGTTTAAAGGCCAAGGTAACTAGATTTTCCATGGCAGTGTATTATATAGAAGGAAGCTTCATGGGAAGAGAACTCCCAGGGAACTGCAGAAGGGGTTCCCAGAAGTTTTTGGCTAAGTAGTGACCTGCACATAGGTAAGAAAAAATGACCTGAGGCCAGGAAAGATCCAAAGGAAAAGAGTTCTTAGAGCTCACACACGGTTGGGAATACTTCATCTTATTCCAGACAGAAGAGAAAGAACTTGTAATACATAGTGCATTAGCCCACAGAAGGATCATACCTTAGTACTGGAACTAAATTAGTATCAGAATAAAAACTGCCCTGGATCCACCCTAACACTGCCTAAAAGCAAATCCCGGAAGGATTACACTGATCGCAACTAACTTAACTGTGTATCAGAAAAATGTCTAACACTATTTAAAGAAATACAACAAAAATATAGCAGCCAAACAAAATTTTAAGGAATGCAAACAACAGGAGAATATGACACACAACCAGAAAAAGATTAATCAACAGGAACAGGGTGAGATCTGACAGATGATGATATTAGGAGATAAGAATTTAAAGTAGCTATCCTAAATCTATGTGCTATGTTCAAGAAGGTGGAGGAAACATAAATGTGATGAGTGGGGAAATAGAAGGTATTTTTTTAAAGACCCAAAGGAAGTTCTGGAGATTAAAATATAATATATGAAGTAAAAATACACTAAAAAGAATGCACATCAGATTAAACATTACAAATAAAAATATCAGTGAATTTAAAGATGTAGCAATAGAAATGATCTCAAATGAAGGAAAGAGACAAAAACAACTGAAAAAAATGAAGAGAATATCAGTGACCCGTGGAACAATATCAAGTAGTCTTACATTTGTATACCTAGAGTTCCAGAGAAGAAGGGGGAGAGATGAGATATAAAAAAAATATGAAAAATAATGGTGTTAAATTTCCCAAAATTGATGGAAACTATAAATATACAGATTAAACAGGAAATATAAAGAGAACCAGACCGAGTCATATCAAAATCAAATTGCTGAAAACCAGTGGAAAAAGAAAATCTTAAAAGCAGGTAGGGAAAAAAAGACAAATTATATATGGAGAAAGAAAGATAAGAATGATAGTAGACATCTCATGAGAAACTATGTAAACTACTAGTATTATAATAATGAAAGAAAGTCACTGTCAACCTAGAATTATATACACAGTAAAAATATCTTTCAAAAATAAAAGTGAAAAAGAATTTTCACACAAAAGCTAGAAGAATTCATTTCCTGCAGATCTGTACTTAAAGAAATGTTAAAAGAAGGTTTTCAGCCAGAAGAATATGATCCAAGACAGAAATTCGTGTCAATACAAAAGAATAAAAAGGACAGGAAACTGTAAATATTGAGTAAATATACAGGACATTTTCCTAACTTTTGATAAAAAGATAATTGACTATGTAAATAAAAAGCAATACATTGTGGCATTTATAACATATGCTGAAAAAAAATGTATGAAACCAATAACATAATGGATTGAAGGGTAAAATAAAAGTACATTATTGCAAGGTTCTCAAACTGTAACTGAAAGGGCATAATACTGATTCAGGATACATTAGGGTAAGGTAAAAATGACTTAACTAGTGAATTCTATCAAACATTTAAGGAAGAAACAATACCAAATCTATACATCTCTTCCAAAAAATTGAAGTGGAAGGAACACTTCCCAACTAATCTTTAAGAGTACAGCATTATTCTGATACCAAAACCATCCAAAGATAACATAAGAAAAGATAACTAGAGAATAATATCTCTCATAAACAAAGATCCCTCATTTAACAAAATTTTTGATTGAACAAAATCAAATCTAGCAATATTTTAAAAGGATAATAGATTATGACCAAGAGAGGTATAAACATTAGAAAATCAATCAATGAAATCCATTATATTAACAGACCAAAAAAAAAAAAAGAATTGTGTTATCATTTCAATAGATGTAAAAAAAACAAAACACTGAGTATAATTCAATGCTTATTCCTAACAAACCTTCTTATCAAACTAGATCCAAAAGAAAACATCCCACTAAATGGTGGAAGACTTAAGATTTACCCTCTAAGGTCAAGACAAAGAGGAGAGCTCTCAGCATCTTTATTAAATATTTTATTGCAGGTTCTAGCCATAGATATAAGGCAAGAAAAGAAATAAACGGCGTTCACTTTGGAAAGGAAAGAAGTAAAACTACCTTTATTAACAGCATGATTGTCCATGTAGAAAATCCTGAGAAATCTACATAAAAAGCTAATAGAATTAATAAGTGAAGTAAGGTCATAGGATATAGGATAAATATACAAAAATCAAATGTATTTCTATATGATACCAATGAACTGAAACTTAAAATTTAAAAAGAACAACAGCATCAAAAATATAAACTATTTAGGAATAAATGTAACAAAAAAACTGTAATATTTGAACTCTGAAATTCACAAAACACTGTTGAGAGAAATTAAAGACTATCTAAATAAATGCAGCTATGCTTATGGATTGGAAGACTAAAAATTGTTAATTGTAGATTTTCAAGTTGATCTATAGATTTAGTGCAATTCCACTCAAAATACCAAAAAGTTTTTCTGTAGAAATTGACAAGCTTCTTCTAAGTTTATACAAAAGCACAAAGATTGCAGAAGAGTGAAAACAATTTTGCAAAAGAAGAACAAAGTTGGAGAAAAATCATTAACTGATTTCAAGACTTACTAGGAAGCTATTATATAATCAAGTCACTGTAGCACTGGCAAAGGAGAAGTATGCAGATCAATGAAATAGAGTCCAATAAGTAGAAAACATATTTATGGTCAATTGATTCTTGACAAAGGTGCCAAGGTAATTCAATGAAAAAAAGATCTTTTCAACAGATGGCTCTGGAACAACTGTATAGGCAAACACCAAAAAATTATCGTTCACCCACCCATACTATAAACAAAAATTAACTTGAAATTAATTAATTCAAGGTATATGAAATAGATCATATACCTATCAATACATGTAAAAGTTCCAACTGTAAAATCTCTAGAAGAAAGCACAGGAGAAAATCTTGGGTTAGGCAAGGACTTCTCAGGACACCAAAAATATGAACCCTAATACAAAAAACAGATGAAACCAAAATAGAAAAAAATAGATTAAATGGATTTCCATCAATATTTGTTCTTTAAAAGACAACTGAATCGCTTTGCTGTACACCTGAACCTAATACAATATTGTAAATCAACTATACTCCAACATATAATAAAAATTAAATTAAAAATATAAAAAAAATTAAAGTAAATAAGCAACAAGGATACATTGTACAGCACAGGGAAATACAGCCATTATTTTGTAACAACTTTAAGTGGAGTATGATCTATAAAAATATCGAATCACTATGTTGTACACATAAAACTAATATACTATTGTAAATCAAGCATACCTCAATAAAAAATAAAAAATTTTTAAAAACACTCATAAATAAATAAAGTGATGGGTTACATGAGAAAAAAAAAAAAGACACCATTAAGAAAATGTAAATGCAAGCACAGACTACTAGAAAAAATGTTCAAAACATAAAATTAAGACTTGTATCCAGAATATACTAAGAAACGCTTACAACTAAATAAAAAAAGACAACCAATAAACAATGTAAAGAGGTCAACAAAAATTTGCACAGATATTTCACCAAAGAAGATTCAGAAATGGCAAAAAAGCACATGAAATGATGCTCAACATCCTTAGTCACTGGGGAAATGCAAAGTAAAACTACAGTGGAGTATCACTATATACCCACGAGAATGGCTAAAATTAAGAGACTAGTAATGTTAAGTATTGTTATGAATACTGAACAAATGGAATTCTCATAGATTATTGAAGGGAATAGAAAATAGTACAGCTATTTCAGAAAACAGTTGAGTAGTTTCTTGTAAAGTTACACTTACCATACAACCCAACAAACCTACTCCTGGGTATGTACCCAAGATTAGAAAACATATCTACATGTAAAGATTTGTACCTGAATATTATTCATAATAGTCAAAAAGTAGAAATGATCCAAATGTCCATCAATGGTAAATAGATAAACATACTGTGGCATATCCATACAATGGAATACTACTCAGCAATAAAAAGTAATAAACTAATAATACACTCAATAATACAGATGAATTTCAAAAGTGAAATAGCCAGTCATAAAAAGCTATATACATTCCATTTACAGGAAGTTCCAAAAAAAGCAAAATTCCCAGAACAAAGAGTAGTTTAGTGGTTGCCAGAATCTAGGGGTGATGGGCATGTTCTCTACATGACTATAGTACAGTTACATGATTGTATACATTCGTCAAAATTCACTCAATTGTACAGTTTAAATCCGTGAATTTTATTGTGTAAATTATGCCTTAATAAAGGCACTTTAAAATTAAAAACAAAAAAATCTTAAAACCTAAGAATGCAAATCTGCAAAAACACTGCTTTTCCTCTTATTTAACAAGAGTAGTTCAGCAGACATTTTCACCAGAACCACATCATATAGCTAACGAACACTAATCGAATACTCAGGTACTAACAATGCAGGAAAGTAAATGTAAACATATTCTAGACATTTGAAGTCATTCGTATTACAAATTTTTTAAAAGATACATAGTTCTCAATTCTTTATCAACATTTCCTATCTTCCTAACCCCATCCAGTCTTGTGTTTTTTAATATAACCATTGAATTGGAGAAATCAATTAAGAATTGAAAGAAACTATTGTTTTCAATTCTGAAGGTATGAACCAAAATTAATTTAAGAAAATCTTCTTGTCATTTGTTTTGAACAAAAAAAGGTTCTAAAGATACAGAAAGGAAATCATGAACTGCCTAGCTACATGCCATCAGTGAATGACCTATTAGGTTTAAAACACCCCAAGATGATAATAACCTAAAATACCTGGCAAGCAGGAAAAAACTAAAATATTTACTCAGTTTGTCAGCTTCTATTTATATCTAGAACAGAGGCCATGATTAGTCACTTAAAAACAATTATTTTATAATTTTGTTTAAATATGTAACATCAGATTTGCTACAAATCCTTGATACTCTACCTTTCCTGAGGATGGAGGAGAAGGACTAGCACAAGGACTTTGATAATTATTGCTGTCTGTATTCACAGAAGACTGATCTGACCTGTCATCAGTGCTTCGTTTAGGATGTAAAATTCCTCTATCTTTGTACTTCTGAGGTGGGTGCAGTGCTGGAGATGGAGATTTCATCAATACTCTTGAGTGAAAATGAGGAAGCAAAGATCAGTTATACATAAGTTCATAATACAAAGCACAGTCCATTTCAAACCAAAGCTCCAATGACACTTTGATTTATGGAATAGTATTTAAAAAGGCAATTTCATTCTTCAATTACATTTAGATGAAAGAGTTGTATTATTACAGTATACTTACAAAAACAACATTTAAAATAATACAAAAATACATTTAAAACAACCTATAAAAATCTTTAACTTAATATTAAATACCCAAGTATTATTCCCTTACAAAACTCCTAATCTCTTTTAATGTCAGTCCAGGAGAAGTCCTTAACAATTATAATGTCTTATATTGATGTTTAATGTCTTTTAACATTATAAAATTAATTAAATATACCTGTGCTAATAGCCTTTACTAGAATATCACTGACTCCGCTTCCATTCCACTTTCATATAATATCGTAAAGCCAAATACAATAGATTTCAAAAGCATACTAAAAATTACAGTATGGTAAAGTGGAAATAAGACAGGACTAGAGTCAGGAGAGAAGGTTTTTGGGACAGTACTAAATTTACAACTAACGAGGCAGGTGATCCTGGGCAAGTCTTAATTTATCTGAGTTTTAATTTCCTTACCTGTTAGATAAAGGGAGTAAATTAGATAAACGCTAAGATTCTTCTGTTTTAAAATTCTATCAATAAATGCAGCAAAAACGGCAGTCAGGAATTTTATAATTTTTTAAAAAGTATACATCTTAGTGGAACAACCAGACATTAAAAAAAAGACATTAAGTACTTCCTAAAGTAGTGCAATATAAAGTTCATAGCACTACCTATAAAATATTCTTGCCAAAACACTGGATCTAATCAAGCCCTGAGAGCTAACCACCATTTTCCATGAAATACATAGGGTATAGCAATAAAAAGAAACCAATACAGAATGTGGTACATCTAATACCACTGACCTCATTCCCTAAAAAAAGTCAGCAGAGGAACTAACTGCTCTAGATCACAAGAGATTCAAGAAACAAGACACCCTAATACAATGCATGAGTCCTCCCTAGATGTTGTTTCAAATAAATCTATAGTTTGAGAATTGGGAAAATGATTATTTTATTGGGACTGATAATTGGATTTTGATTATGTAGGAAAAATCCCTCTATTTTTAAGAGATGCATATTTAAATACAGAAGGGTAAAATGACATGATGTGTGAGACTGATTTTTGAAATATGTAAACAGAAAAAGAAAGGAAGCAAGAAAAACATAATTGGGGTAGATAAAGCAAATAGGTGAAAATCTTGGTAAACTACTGAAGCTGAAATATGGAATTCACCATGACATATCATTTACTTTGCTATGTTTAACAATATTTATAATAAACAAACAAAACAAAAAAGGCCAAGTCATCAATAGTACATAAACTTCCATTGAGTCTTGCAATTATAATTATTCTGCCTTCAAAACAAGTTAAAATAGCTTATCCCCACAATTTGCTTCTCTTTCAGTAAGTATCTTAGATCCAATACTATTTCGTTCAAAAATGAAATAAAATACCTAAAAATATTAATGAAAATATATAATGAATAAACATCTGAATAATTAATAACAACTTGATAAATGTAAAGAACCAACTTTTCAGGTTTTTTTCCCTCTCATGAATTGACGTTCAATGAATTATCAAGTTACACCTCTAAAATTCCATCATTCTTTCCCTGGTACTTTATTTACCTAAAAATTAGGTAACAGAACTTAACTGAGTGTAATACCTTATTAAAATAAAAATGATGTTTTCAATAGAACTAAATGTCTACTTTCGTGGTTTTCAATTTGATCTTTGACTCTGTGCTGTATTCTAAGCTTTTCTCTCATACTTGGCTTCCCCCCCAAAATTTCATGCACGTAGAAACAAAACATTCGTGTAAACCCTTCCAACCTAAATTTTTATTTAAGAAGAACAAAGAGTTCTGATAACTCATTTATATCTCATTTTTCTTATAGAAAAGATATGTTTATTCTCTGTAAATGAGCAAGTTATTATTTAGAAAATGACAATAAAAATTGGTTTAATTTTAAGGTGGGATGTGGACAACTTCTATTTTTAAATAGTTTCTTAAACTTTTAAAAAATAGTTTCAATAAAATGCTTTTATTAAAAGAAATTATCTAATCTATATCTTGCCATGCTAGCATGAAAACTCTAACTATAAATCCCTTTTCTCCAAGAAGTAATCCTAGAAAGATTATAACTTCTCCACTCAAAAATAAATCTTCCTAAGAGTCCTCATTCTATTCCTCAACAAGCTACATCAATTCCAGGCCTTATCTATTAATGCTACCAAAAGTCTAAAAGTGGATGAAATTCTGTATCTCACTGTTCAACAGACAAGAGAATGAAGAATGCAAGGCTACAACTTGTAAGGAAAGGAAAATGGTAGACACTGGTATCACAGGTGGAGAAATGAATTTATAAGATAATCAGTTTCTAAAGCATAACTAATATTACACTTTATAATTCTGATTTTCTTCTGTATTTCCAAATTTTATTAAATGAGTATGTCTTACTTTTATAAAGAAAAAAAAAATGAAGAGTTTTTTTCCCTAAAACTGTTATGTGTGTAGTATGTGTGTATGTATATAGACACATATGTGTGTAAAAAGTCTCTGTGAATATAACAGGTTTTTTACACATTAGTCTATAAATAACTCTACCACATAATTTCTATGCAAATGTATTCTCACATTCTAAACAATCATTGTTCAAGTAAACTTTTAGAACACTCTTTTTTTTTTTTTTTTTTTTTTTTTTTTTTTTCGGTACGCGGGCCTCTCACTGTTGTGGCCTCTCCCGTTGCGGAGCACAGGCTCCGGACGCGCAGGCTCAGCGGCCATGGCTCACGGGCCCAGCCGCTCCGCGGCATGTGGGATCTTCCCGGACCGGGGCACGAACCCGTGTCCCCTGCATCGGCAGGCGGACTCTCAACCACTGCGCCACCAGGGAAGCCCTAGAACACTCTTTTTAAAAAGTGAAGCGTGTCTAAGTAGAAAATGTGTTTTTTACTATTTTCCTTTCACTTGGCAGTGTCTACATCAGAGAAAAAGGTTCAGGGATGCATATTACGAGAAGGTTCTCTAAGCAATTGGTTGAATTATTCCTAAAATGTAATATATGAAGAACTTGGAAACCACCATGTATTATTCCTTTTCAACTGAAGTCTTAACTGATAACATGCTTTTATGCTTCATTCAAATAAGTAAAATCTGATCAAAAGAAGGCAGGTACTATATACTCCATCTGATCCTTGAAAAACAATAAGCACTACAAATCTTTTATGTTTCCATTGTTCCTATTTTCAGGTTTTTAACAATGAAATCATATTCTTATCACAGAGACTATCTACCATACTGCCAAAATTAGCATTCCAAGCAAGAATTTTGTCTCTGTTATCAATTCTAACCTGGTTTAAAATAAAAAAATAACTGATATAAAGAAATTTAAATTTGATTCTAACAAATATTTTTACAACCAGAAATACTTCTGCATCATGACCAACAATTCATTATAACCACTATTATACCACCAAATACATTTTTGGATAAATAATTCAATATAAGAGCTCTCATTATTATTACTAATCATATAATAAACAAAAAAATCACATCTAATTGCCAAATGCTAGAAAGGATAAAAGAAGTTAGCTAAACTAAAAAATTTTGCCAAGACAGTAAATTTATTTACTTTTTTAATATATGTATGCCTCCCCTCAATAAAATGTAAACTCTCTGAAGAAAGAGATTTTGTCTGTCTTACACATTGCCATATCCCTCACACTAAGAACAACAGGCATTCAATGTGTCCCTGTATGAATGAATGAATAAAGTATTTTTCTGTAGGAATACTAGTCAGTGTTATTAATATCTAGGTAAGGCTTGTGGGGAGGCTGTTCTTCTAAATGGCCACAGCCAACACTTCTCGTTGTGAAGTATCTAGGAAAGATATGGCTTGACATATATCAACTAAAATACATAATAAAAAATGTTGCTATCTTTTTCTCAGACCCTAAATTTGTAAATTCTGGAAATTAAACGTTTTAAGCTTTTCCTGACAAAAAAATTTCCTTGTTAAATAACTCAAGACCCCAGGAGCTTGAAATCCTTAATATTATCTAACACTTGAAAGAATTATCTTTTGAAAGTAACTCTTCCTATTTTATTGCGACCTTTTTGTGTATCTTAGATTATAAGAAAGTAATTTTAAAATATTATAAAAGCATGTGATTCTATGATAAATGATAAATATTTTCATAGAGAAAATATCTCGTTTTGATAAAATGTTATGAATTTACCTTTCTGCAGTAGTAGACTCATCAGAAAATTCAATATCTGCTGAAATTTTCCTACTATTATTTGACCTCCAAGATGATGCCAAAGGAAGTTCTTCTGAAGACATAGGCCTTGGCCTTTGGCCAATCCCAGATGGTTGTTGTAAACCTGCAGACTGTTCTTCAGTGCTTAAAACAGCTATAATTGCTCTTATGGTAGCATCATCAACTTGGGACCAAGGTTTGGATGGAGCTCTCATTCGGCGTAAAAATAAGCTATGCCACTTCTGTCTAAGCTGCAGCAATAAACTGGCTGCCTATAATAAAATGGTTTCTTCAGTTCAAATAGATACAAGCAAAATATCTATCACACTTGCAAGACAACTATTTGTTTATTAGTTAAGGTCTAAAACTGTTTCCAAAGAACATGTTTTACATTTCATATCATTTACTATCAATTTCAGTCTTTCTGTTGCACGAAAGAAATAAAATTTATTTACCATTTTGAGGCACTAGAGACCCAAAATCAAATGAAACACTCCAATGAGAGAGAAAGTAAACAATGTGTGGTAGAGTGTGATTAATACTGGAAAAGTAACAGCAGGGTAAATAAAGAAAAATACATTTAGTTCCATTCATACTTTATTTTTACTGCCAAATGATGATGTCCATAAGGCAGCTGAATTCATAGGTCCAGAGAAAAGCTTAAGCTAGAGATACAGATAAGATGTACCTGGAAGTTATCAACGCATAAATGGTTACTAAATCTACACATAGAGGTAAGGTCCTTAGAGATTGTGCAGAGACAGAAGAACAGAGTAAAGAACAGACTACTAGAGAACATCTAACATTTAAGGCACAAACACATACAGAAGAGTTAGTGAAAGAACCTAAGACGGAATGACCTCTCTAGATAGAAGAATCAGGAAATAGTAATGTCATAGAAACTAGTGACAAAGAAGTTAGGACAGGGGTGAGGAAGAAAAATGGGGAAGGGCAGAATCAATAAAAACAAGGGTATGGACAATAGCTAAATATGAGAGAAAGGTCAAATTTATCAAGGACAGCAGGCTGGCTTTGATAACCTGGAGGAGACAATATTGACCTTGGCAAGCACAGTTTCAGTGAAGTGAAAGATCGATGGGAATGGAAATGAGACTGCAGTAGGTTGAAGTGATAAATGAATGTATGGCAAAAAAGTAAACCTAGCCAGTATTGACTTTTAACAGTTGATATTGTCCCAAAAAAGGATATAGAATGATCTTTAAAAGTAAAGATGGAATTAAGGGAAGGCTTTATCAAGAAAAATTTTAATTTGAAAAAAAACATTCATCTTTCCTACTCCAGAGAAATATGAAAAGAGAAAACAGGATGAACTCACACCTTTCCCTTATAAACAGAGTTACATAAAATGAAAGGATTTCTTGTGTACCCAATATTCAATATTTTCTTATATACACAAAAATATTCAAATATTACCATGCTCAAATACTGAGCCACACCTAGATTTTTCAAATCCTCTAGAGAATAAACCCCAATATGGCAGAGAATGTATGAAAACTGAAAAACAAGCTGTATTCTCTCATACTAAGGGCTCAATTTTAAAGATATAATTTTCATCACACTGTGTATCAATTCATACAACTGAATAAAAGAAATCTATCACACTACTAAAAAGCAACTTACCTCTGGCTCTAGTTTGAAATTGAGCCACTCATCAAGTTTTAAAGCTGCCAAATTAGCAGTAGTTCTGTCTTCCATTTCACTATCACTACTGTCATTAGGAATACCATCTGCTGTTCACACATATTGAAAGGAAAAAAAATTCACTTTTACTATCATATCACAGACAAAACAGTAAGTCAATATAGATACTCTACATTTACACAAATACTCCTGATATACTAACAATTTGTGTGGGGAGTTCTCCAAACACAACAGGTCACAAATTAAAACTCAGTATCTGGCCATTGTTTATTTCTCTACTCAAATTCTAAATAAAAGAATTTTTCAAATTTTGTCAAGAACCCTCTTCTTTTTAATATCATTTACTAGCTAATGATTTCCAAATTTGTATTGCTAGTCCAAACTTTCTCCCTGAGCTCCAGATATGGATAATAAATCCACTGACTCAAAAAGAAAAAAATCTTACTTAGGATTCCTTAGCCATCTCAAATTTAACATGTCTAAGAGGACCCCTGACTTCCCTACACAACCTGCTCCTCCCAGTTTTCTGAATCTCAAATAAGTGGCACCAATTATTCAACTAGCTATCACAGCCAAAAACCCAAGAATTAATGATTCCTCCCTTTCACTCACCACCCACATTCGATCCAGCCATTACTAGTACATCCAAAATAATTTTAAATCTATTTCTTTTCATATCAGATGCCATCACTGTAGTTCTGAGCCATCATTATCTATCATAAGACCACTGCAAAAACCTCCAACCTGCCTCTTCTCTTCCGTCCTTGCTCCTTCAAGCAATCCATTCTCACAGCCAAAATGATTTTTTTTAACATAAATCACACCATGTTACTCCCTTGTTAAAACCCTTCAACGGTTTCCCTTGCATTTTCCTTTACAAGTCCATGTCTTTCTTTCAACCTCAGATCATCCCACTCTCACCTTGATCACTATGGTCACAATCACACAATCTTTCTGTCTGTTCCTATATCATTTCCTAGTGCAGAATCTTGGTCCTCGACATCTTCTCCTACCTAGAGCATATTTCTGCATCTTCACATGGCTGATTTCTTCTCATACTTTAGAGCTCAGCTTAAATCTCATCTCCTCAGAGAAACTTGTCTAAGGTCCCTTTCTAAAGCAGGTCACTCCTAAGGAGACCCTCTTCATTTTCTTCAAAGTACCATGCATGTTATTTACTTTTTTGCTATATGTCAACACCCACTAACAGGTGAACTCCTGAAGACAGAAATACTTTGTATATCTTGTTTTCTGTTATATCCTCAATGCCTAGCACAATAACTGACATGTAATAGTTGCCCAATAAATATTTGCTGAATCACCAAATAGCAAAAAATTGGAAACAATCTAGATGTCTGACTATAAAGGAACATTTCAAATGCATTATGTCACTATAATGTGATAGAATATTTTCCAGCCATTAATATGAAATATTAAAAATGTTTTTTATATTTTGTGAAATGAAAATAGCAGAATATAAACAGTATGGGTAAAATAACCTAAAATATGTAAACATACAGAAAAAAATGTATAATATTAAAAAGTGTTTGCGTAAGGGTAGTGGGATTATGGGTAACATTTCCTTTAAACAATTACTTTTTTGTTTTCTTTTTAACATCTTTATTGGAGTATAATTGCTTTACATTGTTGTGTTAGTTTCTGCTGTATAACAGAGTGAATCAGCTATACATATACATATATCCCCATATTCCCTCCCTCTTTTGGCTCCCTCCCACCTTTCCTATCCACCCCTTTAGGTGGTCATAAAGCAAGGAGCTGATCTCCCTGTGCTAAGGGGCTGCTTCCCACTAGCTATCTACTTTATATTTGGTAGTTAAACAATTACCTGTTTTTTATGTTAAACTATCATTTAAATTCAAGTGGAAGAAAAAAACAGACTATCAACAAGATTAATCAAAAATGCACAAATGAATATCAAGTTACCTTAGAAATCAATTTCAAGAACAATGGTACACTTTAGTAATTTTTAATTAGTCTTAATACATCAAAAGGGAGCTACTACCACATAAATTTTTATAATTTCAAAATTTGTTTGGTTTAGTAAGAAGAAAAAATTTTATTTCAAATAGATTTGTATTTCCTTCAATAATATATTTACCTCGAAAAGATGAAAGTTCCTGAAGAGCATTACTTGCCAACCTAGCTGGTCCACAAAATATCAATACAGTGACAGGTGTCACTGCTGAACAACATCTAATATTAGCTATTCTATGAGCTCTGGTCATTTCATCATAAATAAGCCAATCTGTGGGCAGTGCCTGAATTGCTGCAGCTTGACCATTAGCTGGAGGAATCTATTAGGAAAATAAATTTTAAAACTGTTAAGTAAATTTATCACTTAATTTACTGGTAATACTTTTAAAATGTACAAAGTCCCTCAGCGAAATAGATGTTGTATATTAGTACCCAAACAAAAATTAAAGCAAGTCATTGGTCATGTAGTTTGTACAAAAGTCCTCAATACTTAACACATTACCTCTTCCAACTTTAAGACTCAACCAAAATATTGTTCCAATGTTGAATTATACATACATAACTAATTAATTTCTTAAAGCAGGTTGGCATTGGGAGCATTTTTTTATTGATCTTCAACTATCTAAATTAGATTAGTTTTACCTCAAGGCCTAAGAGCATTCAAAAAGTTTTACCTTTTTATAGTGAGACTGACTGAGAACTGAAGTGGGATGAAACCGTACTTTTTTCTCCTTTGGCCCTGTCAATACTACATTCTCTCTGTCCACGTGGACTAAATGAGGATACATGCCTGCAACCAATGCAGCTTTAACGACAGCCCAGTTCTCAGAATTTGTGTTAACATCTCGAATGTCACCACCACCTCGTGCTCTCACAAAACCTAGAAAGAGGAAACAAACCACACCAACTTTTTCTATTGCACAAAATATACTTTTAAATTTGGGTTTTTAACAAAAAATTGTATAATCCATACAAGTTTAATGATTCAAATGCCACAATAATTCATAAAATCTCCTCTGAAAAGTTTATAATATAGTCAATGTTCGAAGAAAGTTTAAGTTTGCTTAGGCTAAAGTAAGCAGAAGATTCATTGAGGAGTTAGGGACTTCAGAAACAAATACATATTCTTGCAATAAAGTTCTTCATAAGCTGCTATCAGAAACATACTAAAATCATAGCTGAAAACCTAAACTATTCTGCTGAATGGTATTAATAAATCTTGGTTGTGACAGAAACTAATCCTGGAAGTGAAGTCAAGTAAATATAAAGTACTCTTGCTTGAATTTCAAAAGTCCTTCATATTTCCCCATATTTGAGACAACTCTGAATCCTCTGGTTCATTCCTTATATTACTTTGGCACTTCAGCTATTCCATAAATCCAGGCTCAGGTACTTTTCTTCTGTTTCCTCAATGTACTATGCCACTCAAAAAGAAATTCAAAGGAGCAGTTCTAAAATGAAATAGCAAAACTGACATTCTCTTTAAAAAAAAAAACAAGTGCCTTCAAGTGATTACTAGTTGTTTTATGTTCCAAAAATATAAAGGCCAGCTTTCATATCAATCTACTTAAATTTTTGTAATTTCTCTTTCATAGAGCTAAATATTTATTAATAATGATAAAATATAACAAGTACAATCTCTAAATTGATTTTTGCCAACAAATATATTATAAATTGCTCATTGCCAACAGTATCAAAAAGCATTCATATATTTCTCAACTATAGCTTCTACAATATCATTTTTTTAATCAACAAACAAAAGTTGAGGTCATGCAGAAGTCTACAAAGCAGTTCATGAACATAAGATATACAACATGATAATGTCATAAAAATAATATAAGATGGCATTAGTTAACACTAGAAATACTATAACGTATAGGCAACTCTCAGTAGTTTAAATAGGTTCTTTGGAAGAAAACTTTACCTGATGCTCTAAGTTGACCAAGCAACTGAGTTCTCATGCCTATGATTATTTCCAGAGTAGCTTGTGAAAGAAAATTCTTTTCACAAAAGGCTCGCTCCCACCCATCACTTCGAGCCTTCTGCCATGCCTATAAAAATATAATTACATAACAAGACACGTTTCTAATCACTTCTTAGGAACCAAAGTAACTGAAAATCACTACAATAACCACTCAAGGTCAATTCTCCTTTTTCTAATTACTTTATAAAATCTAAGACTATGAAAAACAAAAACAAACTCATAGATACAGAGAGCAGATTAATGGTTGCAAGAGGCGGGGGCTTAGAGGAGTGAGGAGGGTGGATGAAATAAGTGAAGGGGATCAGAAGGTACAAACTTTGAGCTATAAAAATAAATAAGTCCTGGAGACATAATATATAGCATAGTGACTATGGTTAATAACACTGTACTGTATACTGGAAAGTTGCTAAGAGAGTAATTTTTTTTCATTTTTCAACATCAACATTTATTTTTTTAATTAATTTTTATTGGAGTACAGTTGGTTTACAATGTTGTGTTAGTTACTGCTGCAGAGCAAAGTGAATCACTTATACATATACACATATCCACTTTTTTAGATTCTCTTCCCCTATAGGTCATTACAGAGTACTGAGTAGGGTTCCCTGTGCTATACAGTAGGTTCTTATTAGTTATCTATTTTATATATAGTAGTGAGTATATGTCAATCCCAATCTCCCAATTTATCCCTCCCCTCCCTCTTTCCCCCTTGGTAACCATAAGTTTGTTTTCTACATCTGTGACTCTATTTCTGTTTTGTAAAAAGTTCATTTGAGAGAAATTTTTTTTTTTTTGCCTCCACTGAGCGGCATGTCGGATCTTAGTTCTCCAGTGAGGGATTGCACCTGCACCTCCTGCACTGGAAGCGTGAAGTCTTAACCACTGGATCGTCAGGGAAGTCCCTGAGAGTAATTTTTTTAATAAATATTTTTATTGAGACATAATTGACATATAACATTAGTTTTAGGTGCATAACATAATGATTTGTATTGTGAAATCATCACAACTCTAATTAACAGACTAGAGAGTAGACCTTAGAAGTTCTCATCACAAGAAAAAATTTTTTAACTATGTGTGGTGATGGATGTTAACTAGACTTATTGTGGTGATCATTTCACAATATACATAAATACTGTCATTAGGTTGTACACCTAAAACTAACATAATGTTATATGTCAATAGCATCTAATTTTTTAGAATAATTTTAAAATAAAATCTAAGACTTTATGACCAAATAGAATTTATCATTTTCAATTTATACTCAAATGCTATGAAAGCCATTGAGTTTATAAAATCCCAATGAGAACAAAGTATCAGGCAACCTAAATACCCAGCTATGTAAAAATATTTACCTTTACAAATGTGCCTGCTAACTTTCCTCCACTGAAGTATGGGAGATTTCAATTAAGCCATCATAATACCATTTATATCTAAGAAACCTGCCACTTCAGGCCTCTAAAAATAATCTTTATATCACCCTCCTAATCTGTCTGAGAATGGAAAGTAGGATTCCTAGAAATCACCTATATGTAGCATAATGGAGCTCTCTTTGAAAATGAGTTATCTTGCTTTGGAATATAACAGAAAGACAAAAGCAGTAATTTACCTTCTCTGTTTTTGAAGGAGCTGGGGAAAAAACAAAGAATAGATAGGAATTCTACTCCAAATCTCCCCCCAGTTATAATCACTCAACTGATCTACTATAATATATGGTATCTAATAGACCAAATTAATAGCAATGCATCAACCACTATTCAATAATGCCCACAAAAGACCTTATAATTACTTTTTTAATTGTATATATTGGAAAAATCCTGTATGCCTGGAAAAGAGTACTTTCTGCAAAAACACAATTTTTTAATGTATAGATACAGCCTACATTCAAGAGAATTGAAGGATAAATAACATGTCTACCTTTTCAAGAAATAACATATTCTTCCCCAACATAGCTGAATTTCTAAATTATATATCATTTCCTTTACTCAGGTTCACTATACTTATCTTTTCTTTCCCATTTATCACTTTCCTCAATTTCTCACTATTATTATCTTAAAATTTTTAAGTGATTTTTGGATTTTGCTTTATAAAATTAAATTCTTAACATAGTGTCTTGAGCACACAAGAAAGGAACCTACTGTAAAAAATCAATAAATGGATATTAAATTCAAGATAATTTTCTTCTAAGTTTTGTTCTATATACTTTGAATAATATACAATGTTTCTTAACTAAAATTTTAGAGCATTCCTAAACAAGATATGATTAAAGATAAGGAATTTGGGTTTATAAAAAAGAAATATATATATAAGTATAAATAAAAATAAATATACACATAGTTTTACAAGGAGAAAACTGAGAAAATGAAAGAAAAAAGTAGAGAAAAACATGATAATTTTAACATATTAACAGTTTAGGAAGGTATTTTTCTGAGCAATTAATAAAATGTGACTTTATAATGAAACAAAATTAACAGAATCATATCTATTTTTTAATTTGTTACACTTACCCTAGAAATGTGTTTAACCAGCAACATTTCAAAAATAAAATGACAATAATAGTACCTGGAATGCTCTGAGAAGTGCCATGTGGTCACTGAAAGTCCCTGCAGTGAAACGTTTCCTACAAAGCATAGCTGCACGTTTTTGAGAGGCCTGTGTTGGCAGGACAAACGGATCTCGATAGGCTAGTGTGCAGGCAATTGTAAGGATGGGATCCAGACACTTTAACACCACAGCACATAGGACCATTTTACCAAGATGTGGTTCTACTGGCAAGTCAGCCAAATGATATCCAAGTTCAGTGAGATCTTCCCATGCATCCATTGCATCTATTGTCTAAATAAAAGGATATAAAATAGAACTTGACATGACCAAAAACTGTTTCATCAAACCACATACTTAAAAATCCATAAGTAAGATACAAGAACATAAATTTTCTTTTGCTACTGTACCTCATAAAAAATATATTTTGCTTCAAATATATTACGTAAAAATGAACTATACCTACTGTGTTACTATAGTAACTTCAAAATATATAATACAAAGATAATTTTTTTAGGTAAAAAATTAGTTAAGACATATTCTCAATTGGTTTAAATTTCAGGTAAAATGAAACTATTAAGACACCAACCTTAAGCATGTGCACAGCATTTCTTACAATTAAAGTTGGTGGAGGTTCAGGAGCTTTCATAAGGAAATCAGCAATAGGACAATTAACTGGGGCTAAGAGCTTGGTATGTAAACAAAGTTCCTGTAAATAAGAAGAGCAAATAATTTTGAAATACTGACACTTATAATTGATATTTATTTTTTTTTAAATCCTGGGAACTATAGTTTCCCAACACAGACTAGTAGAGTCTCTGATTAAAATGAACAGCAGAGGGAACAATGTCTTTCTATGAAAGATGGGCTCATACTTTAGTGCGAGAATCTTAATAACCATCCTCCATCAACAGCGGGCAATGTCTCCTCACACAGTTCTTATATATAACAATAACAGTCACTGTCCAAAAATCTTTTTTTCCCTTTATATTACATTCTAGAATCTTTTATCCATTCAACAAATATTTAAGTTTTTGCTAGGTGCCAGGCACCATGTATCAAGTTGGAGAAAAAGAAGAGGATAGGCAGACACTGCCCCCATGGATTTTCACTGTGTGTGAAAAACAGAATAATTATATAATTAACTACTTAATTACAACTGGGATAAGTGCTATGAAGGATACAGGGAACTAAAGACGTAAACACAAGTTCAAGAAAGAGTAGGAGGAGGCAGCCATGGGAAGTCAAAGACAATTTCTCTGAGGAAATGACACTTAAAGTAAGATGTACAGATTAATTAGGAATTAAACAGAAAAGGAATAAGGGGGTGGTTTCAATGGAGAGGGGATAGCACATATGAAGGCCCTAAGATAGAAGGAAACAAAATGTGCTTCAGAAACTGAAACTACTGGTATGAGCAGAGAGAAGAGGAAAGGCAAGAATTAAAAAATTAAAACTGGAGACACAAGCAGGAGAGATAATTTAGGCTTTTGTTAAGAACTTTGCATATCCTAAGAAGAATAGAAAATGGCACACAGGCATGGAGAAGTGGGAAGTCATCCAGGTACCTGGATGCCAAAAATATGACCCAGTGTCTCTTTAAGGTTTGGAAGCCAGCATCTAGCTCAGCACACCAGAGAATCAAATTAATGCACTTCTGATAGTTTTCCCTAGAAAGTACATAGTGTTTGGCTGTTCCATGAAGTCAGAAAACCAAAAGGAAAACAATTCATACAGGCCAGGAAATCTCAGTGAACTCAATTCCAAAACTACCAAGGTAAGATCAGCATCTTAAACTGAGATTTTGGTATCATATTTTGTACTTTAAATGATTTGTTTTCTACTTCTCATTGAGAATTTAAAAGGTGAACACTCAGGTGGTTGACAGACTCCTAGAATGTTACATTAAAAAAAACAATGTATCTATAAACCATACTAAATTCAAATGCACTCAAGTAATTCTTTTAAATTTTGGAGGTTTTTGAGTTAAATTTTCTTATACAGAAAAAAATATTAGTTATATATAACCACCCTCCATAATATATACTTTATAATTTTATTTTATAAATTGATTTTTTAAAAGCCCAATCAGTATAAGTTGAAATGGTCCCTCTCCTCCCTCACCCACAAAAAATAGCCTTTTAGATAGAGTTAAGTAAATTTCCACCTGTAATGGCATTCTCAAAAGTTCTGGAGTCTGAAATTCCAACATATTCTGGAATCGAAGTCTACTGAACAGCCGGAAACAAATTCCAGGTCTGCATCGCCCTGCCCTTAAAATTGAAACACAAAATTAAGGCTCAAACAAGGAATAAAGACTATAATAAGGAAACTGTAAAAGCAATATGATTTAGGAGACAGAACAATGAACCAGTATCAGGACATGTGAGTCTGAACCTCTACTCTGATACTGATCCCCTAACCTTTGAAAAGGTACTTCACATTTGTGGGACTCAATTATTTCATTTATAAAGTGAGATTCATGAATGACAAGTAATACTACCTGACAAGTAATACTTCTAAGACAATGGTAAAAATTTATATACTATATATATATATATATACACACACAAAAATAAAAGTGAGTAAAAAATAAGGCGTGAATAAATATATGGTAATTTAAATTTAATCAATTTTACAGAGCTGATACTAAGCACTGTGTTTAGGCCCACTAAACACAGAGTTGTGGAAGTTATGCATTACACAACTCTAAGGGAGTGTCATTTACCCCACGATCATAGAGACTTGCATAATTTTCTGGAAAGCACTAGAAATACATCTTGAGGAAAAGCAGTCACTTTTAATTTCATCCAAAGTCCCTGTATCAGCTAATAGCAAGGCTGAATATGCCAAGTGACAGAGATACAGAAATATCCCTATGTAGCCTCACAAAGCTCATAATCCAAAGAGACAAACCTAACCATAACACAGTGTGATACAAGTTAGAAAATCTGACATTGTTGGACCATTCCTTCCTTCATCAAATATTTCCCTCACTACATACCCATTAGCTTTCCCACCTATCCAGCCTCCTCTGAAAGATTTCTATCCTTCCCAGTTCTTAAATGTTGATGTTCCTCTGAGGTCAGACCTTAGCCCTTTGCTCTCCTTATTCTGCTCTCTCCCAAGTGATATTAATAATCCTCCTAATTTCAAGTTCCGTCCACCTAGGTCTCCTTATCCTAATTCTAGACCTATATTTCAGAAGGCTCTTAGCTCCATTTGGATTTTCCACAGTCAACTCAAACAACACAACCAAAAATTAATTCTCCCCACATAACCACGCTTCACATTTTCCCCGACAATAGCACCACCATCCACAAAATTTTCATAGAAACCTGTAAGACATCCTTCATTCCACTCTATTCCTTAACCCCCACCCCCTGGACATACAATCACCAATATTACTCTCCTGGATATCTCTTGAATTAGTTACTTACAGGCATACCTCAGAGATATTTCAGGTTCAGTTCCAGACCATGGCAATAAAGCAAACATTGCAATAAAGTGAATCACAAGAATGTTTTGGTTTCCTAATACACAGAAAAGTTATGTTTACACTATACTGTAGTACATTAAGCATGCAATAGCATTACGTCTAAATAAACAACGTGCATACCTTAATTTAAAAAATACTTTATTATTAAAAAACGCTAGCCATCATTTGAGACTTCGAAGTCATAGCCTCTTTGCTGGTGGAGAGTCATGCCTCAGTGTTGATGGCTGCTGACTGATCAGCTGAAGGCTGAAGGCTGTGGCAATTTGTTAAAAAAAGACAATCATGAAGTTTGCCACATCAAAGGCCTCTTCCTTTCATAAACTATTTCTCTGAAGCATTCCATGCTGTTGGATGGATAGCATTTTACCCACAGAACTTCTTTCAAAATCAGAGTCAATTCTCTCAAACCCTGCTGCTGCTTTATCAACTAAGTTTACGTAATATAATCCTTTGTCGTCATTTCAACAATCTTTACAGCAGCTCGACCAGGAGTAGATTCTATCTGAAGAAACCACTTTCTTTGCTCATCCATAAGAAGCAACTCCTCATCTGTTAAAGTTTCATCATGTGATTGCAGCAATTCAGTCACATCTTCAGGCTCTACTTCTAATTCTAGTTCTCCTGCTCTTTCCAACACATTTGCAGTTACTTCCTCCCTCAAAGTTATCCATGAGGGTTGGAGTCAACTTCTTCCAAACTCCTGTTTATGTTGATATTTTGACGTCTCCCCATGAATCACAAATGTTCCTAATGGCATCTAGAGTGGTGAATCCTTTCTAGAAGGTTTTCAATTTACTTTGCCCAGATCCATCAGAGGAATTACTATTTATGGCAATTATAACCTTACAAAATGTATTTCTTAACGAATAAGACTTGAAAGCTGAAGTTACTCTTTGATCTATGGGTTGAGGAATGAATGTTGTGTTAGCAGGCAAGAAAACAATATTAATCTCGTTGCACATCTCCATTAGAGTTCTTGGGTGACCAGGTGCATTGTCAATGAGCAGTAGTATTTTGAAAGGAGTCACTTTTTCTGAGCAGCAGGTCTCAACAGTGGGCTTAAAATAGTCAGTAAACCATGTTGTAAACAAATGTGCTGTCATCCAGGCTTTGTTGTTCCATTTATAAAGCACAGGCAGAGTAAATATAACATAATTCTTAAGGACCTTAGGACTTTTAAAATGGTCAATGAGCATTGGCTTCAACTTCAAATCACCACTTGCATTAGCTCCTAACAAGAGAGTCAGCCTGTCCTAGTGGCATTTTCTTCCAAGAAATGGCTGCTTTCCAAGGAAAATCTGTTTAGTGTAGCCACCGTCATTATCTTAGCTAAATCTTCTGGATAACTTGCTGCAGCTTCTACATCAGCACTTGCTGCTTCACCTCCACTTTTATGTTATGAAGATGGCTTCTGTCCTTAAACCCCATGAAACAGCCTCTGCTAGCTTCAAACTTTTCTTCTGCAGCTTCCTCACCTCTCTCAGCCTTCACAGAATTGAATAGAGTTAGAACCTTGCTCTGGATTAGGCTTTGGCTTAAGGGAACGTTGTGGCTGATCTGATATTCTATCCAGACCACTAAAACTTTCTCCACATCAGCAATAAGGCTGTTTCGATTTCTTATCATTCATGTGTTCAATGGAGTAGCACTTTTTATTTCATTCAAGAACTTTTCCTCTACATTCACAACCTGGCTAACTGGTGCTAAGAGGCCTAGCTTTCGGCCTGTCTTACCTTTTGACATCCCCTCCTCACTAAGCTTATTCACTTCTAGCTTTTGATTTAAAGTGAGAGAAGTGCGACTCTTCCTTTTACTTGAACGCTTAGGTGCCACTGTAGGGTTATTAATTGGCCTAATTTCAGTATTGTGTCTCAGGGAATAGGGAAGCCCAAGAACAAGGAGAGAGATGGGAAATGGCTGATCGGTGGAGCAGTCAGAACACACACAATATTTATGGATTAAGTTTGCCTTCTTATACGAGCACAGTTCGTGGTATCCCAAAACAATTACAATAATAACATCAAAGACCACTGATCAGAGATCACCATAACAAATATAGTAATAATGAAAAAGTTTGAAATATTTCAAGAATTACCAAAATGTGACACAGAGACAAGAATTGAGCAACGCCGTTGGAAAAATAGGGCTGATAGATTTGTTCAACACGGGGTGCACAAGATTGCCATAAACCTTCAATTTGTAAAAAATTCAGTATCTGAGAAGTGCAGTAAGGGGAAGTATGCCTATATTCCTCTTTATTTCAACCACCACTATAATAATTCAGGCTACTCTCATCTCTCCCTTATTGTAAATGACAGGATTAATGAAAAGAGTCTCCTACTGGGGTCCTCCTACCATCATTTTTGTCTCTACCTATTCATTCCTCAAAAAGATGAAAGAATACTATAACCATGTTATTAAAAAGAAAAAGGAGAGAGAGAAAATACAAAATGGTCCTAAAGGACCAGTCTGCAACTTACCTCTTTCCACTCATTTTTCATTATTCTCCTCTAAACTAAACTCCATCCAAACAACTTTCTTTGTCACTCTTGCCTTTAGGCCTCTGTGAATGTTTTCCCTCTGCAATGCCTTCCCAAAATAACTATTTAATCATATTTGTCTCAGATTCTATCTTAACTCCTCTAGAAGCATTATCTAGTTACAGTGCAGATCACATAATATTAAAATTGCTTAATTTATTGGATTTCAAGATGGACTGCAACATTTCCCCATCTCAAACTTTACCCATCAGACCATAGTTTATTCATCATTGCACCCCTAACACTTGCACAGTGAAGGCTGCCAAAAAACATCTGTTGAAAAAGATGACAAAGAAAATTTCTATAATTTCTGATTTTTATCCCTGATAATATACTATTAACACGGTATAAGTCCAGCTCAATGTGCCAAGCCACACTTGTCATAAGAAGACAACTGACACAATAACAACAACAAATAACAACAAAGAGCATTCTATGAAGTTATAAAGTACAGAAATCAATGTATCCACCGTCTGCAGTAGGCAGCACTCTTAAAGTCAGTATCTGATGTTTTCTTGTTAGTTAAAATGCAAGAAAAATTAGTCAAATAATTACTGAAAAATATGACTCTTTTTAATCTTGCCTTTTTAAAAATGAAAAAGTAATGCAAGTATGTGCTAAATAACTGAAATACAAAAAATACAAAAATAAAAATTGTCTCCTTCCTCCAAGAGCCCCACAAATCCTCCTTCTCAGAGTCAACAATCATTGTTTTGTAATGTTTATCTCAGCCTCGACAACATATGTGTCTAAATATACATGCAAACATACACATGCATAGATATTTTTTAGAACAAGAAAATACTAGATACATGTTTTATACCTTACTTTTTTCAATTAATATGAGTTTCTGAAAACTCATTCCATATAAAACACATACATCTACATATTTCCTTTTAACAGTTACTTAGTATGACATTGTGTGACAATAATATAATTTGCTTAATCACTTCACTAGTTATGGATACTACAGTGTTCCTAGACTTTTCACTACTACAAATAATACTGCAAAAAACATTCTTAAACATACATCTTGGCACACATACTACGAGTGCCACATACTTGGCACACATTTATCCTGAGTACAAGTATGCTCAGGATAAATTATGAGAAGTAGAATCCACTGCTAAAGGGGAGATCTGGATAAACAGTTTCAAATCATCCTCTGAAGAAGTCACATCAATATAAACTCCCATCAGCAAACTGTGAAAGCCCATTGGCCCATGCTTTTGTCAACTCTTGTTGTGTGTGCTGTTAAAAATTTTCATTGATGCCAATCTGATAAGTAAAAAATAGTACCTCATTAATTCGCATTTCTTTAGGTATATATGAGATATATGTGGTATATGTGAGGTTAATGTAGTGGTCTTTATTTAATTGATTTTCATGGAGCTTTTTATGTATTGTACAGAAATTAGTCCTACATCTTACACTGCTTTTATTTTTGTTTTTTAAGTTTCTTATGTCTTCTGAGTGTAGATCATACTAGACAAAATTTTTTATTTTTAACATAACCTAAATTCAACTTTTAAAATAAGTATTAAAATGGTATGCTCTGCAAAAATAATATAAAAATTAAGACTAACACGAAAGTTTTAACATTTTAGAGAAAGTAGAATATACATTAAATATGTAATACATATGAAAATGTTTCCATTTTATAGGCAATTGAATCAATGTCCATTAAATATACATTACCTGCCTTTTCGCTGTATGGCACTAGCTTTGGAAATCCACACCATTTTTAACATTGTAACAAAATTCAGTGCATCGAAGGATTTCTGTAATATTTAAATCACCTTCATGTTAATACATAAAAGGTATTTAAGAAGAAATAGCAGAAAACATTATGAACATATTTTAGCACATCGAGTTTAATTCAAAGTCCCCTTTGATTAATTAAAACAGGATACTGATTTAAAAAAAAAAATCCAGATTTCTGGTCACAAACATTCTAAGGAAAAAGAATGAAAACTAAACTTAGAAGAGCTGTAAAACTTCCTCATTCTGTGCCTTGCTAAGCTATCTGTTTTTCTCTGCTACACTTGGATAATGGCAGTCAGTTCTCATAAGGCATCAAGATTGGAGAGAACTGATCTATTCCTTGAGGTCATTTTCTATCAGATTTACATCACTGTGGGTAATAGGAGTGACCAGGGAAAGACGTTTTCTGAAATACTTTCCAGGAAGTTGATTGGAAGAATAACAATAATCACTAAAGTAATCCTATTCCCAACTGAATAATTTTTAACCCCTTCCATTTTACCTCCTGCTGAACTACTAATGCAGTTAGCCTATCCAGAATGTTACAAAAGAGAAGGTAAAAAAGAACCTTTACTATCCCCATACTTTCACTTCTAAAGTGGAAACTTACGTAGAAAAATATTTTAAAAGAATTCATTGCTAGAATATATACATCAATCATTCAGTGACTTTACACTTTCCTTTTCATAAAATTACTACATAGAGCAAATACAAATGTGTTCTCATAATTGTTTAATTATGGGATTTTTAGAAAAGATGCTGCTTATTTTGTTTTTAATAAAATGTTACATTTAACAATTTTGTACATAAAATAACTTTGGCACTACCATCACAGTTTACTTGATAAATAACACCTAAAGGCAATTAATTTTTTCACATTAAAAATGATCATTCATATCCACTAGAACAGATATAATTTGCTTTCCCAACATGGATAGCATTGCTCTCCTTGAAAAATCAATTACCTCTATCACTTTCAATTATTTCAGTGAAAGGATCGACCAAAATTAAGGATGCTGAGAATTGCTGGGCATTCCAACACTAAAAGGAAATAAATGCTGCCTTTTATTTATATCAGGAATTGGCAGTAAATATTTTAGCCTTTGCAGAGGGGGTCTGTTGCAACTACTCAAATCTGCCACTGGAGTGTGAAAGCAGCCACAGACGATGGGTAAAAAGTAGACATGGCAGTATTCCAACAAAATTTATTTTTACAAAAGCAGGTGATGGGCCCAATTTTACTGCTAGCCATCATTTGCTGAAGCCTGGTTTTATGTTTGTTTGTTTCCTATCAGCATGGTTCTCTAAGTATCTTTTGAATACCTACTATATGTGGAGCACTGGAGATATAACAATGAACAAGAGGGACACGGTCCATGCCCATGAGTAGAAAGAAAACATACAAAATATGTAATCAAATTCCCACATTGACAAAATTTTCACTGTAACTAGCCAAATCCTTTATTTTATTCCTAATATTTAGTGAGCAGAGGCTAAATTTTTTGTATAATTTGTTAAAATAAGACAGATCCTACAAACTGAATTGTTTAAGGCAGAATATTTACTTGAGTGAAACCAACATTTACTACGTTAAATTCATCTTAGAACCAGAAATTTTCCCATTAAAATGAATTCTGCTTATAAAAGCATTTATTGTTATGGAACTTAACCTTTGTCATTTAGGTAAAAATACAACTTATCCATACATACCTCTTTCACTTTACCAGAATCAATAACAAAGACAACGTCATTGACTGTGATGCTGGTTTCAGCAATATTGGTGGAAAGGATCTGCAATTGGATATTATGTTATCGTTAATATGAAAGCAAAACCAATGACTAATAAAATGGAAAAAAGAAGATTTTATGAAGCTTACTATTTTTCGAACACCTGCAGGTGGGTTTTTTAATATCTTCTTTTGATCGGATGTTTGCATATTTGAATGAAGCATAAAGACTTGGTACCTGTCGACAATTAAGAGAAATTATACTGTGGTACCTAACTGTTATTTAATGCAATAAATATAAAGCTTTAGCTTTTACCTATGAGTATTGTCAGCGAACCGCTTGTCATCAAACAGGATGCGATCCCTCAGACCAACAATTTCATCATATCCAGGCAGGAAAATCAATATTGCACCTTGAAGAAGAATGACTTTTTTTTAAACATTAAATCTCTTTGTAAAACCAAAATCAATCAAAACAACTAGCTATAATGAACTACATCATGTGTTTTCAAGTACTGATAAATTCTAATACTTATAAAATGACACAAGAGATTATTTGTGCATTATTATCAACAAAATTGTATAAAAATTTGTACACACACAAAATACTAAATTTAAGTCAAAGAATATATTTTTGCTTCAGTTCTTTTAGACAATACTTATTTACCAGAATCACAACTATGGCAGATATTGTATAGAAGATGCATGATCAAATCCAAGTCTACTTTTTCATCATCAAAACTATGATGATAAGCTTTCAGGAGCTCTCTGTCTTCTGCACTGAGATCACTCCCATTTGTTTGAACCAAAGAACTTTCATCTAAATTTCCAAATTCCAATGAAGCACTAGAAAAGAAAAACACAGACCAAGTCAAATTTCATTGAAAAGAGTAACGCTTAAAGGCCAATGATTCCCATTATGTCCATGTTCAAATTTTCAATATACTCTAAAGAGGGTAAGTGACAATTAATACTCTATAACGTAATTCATATTTTGGTTTCAAGTATATTACTCAAAGTAAAATTTGGCAATATGTGTTTTTAAAAAAACTCTATCTGAAGACATTTCTCCAAAGGAAATATACAAATAGCCAATAAGCACATGAAAATACATTCAACATCATTAGTCATGAGAGAAATGAAATTCAAACCACAATGAGATACCACTTCACACCCACTAGGATGACTATAATAAAAAAGACAGATAATAATAAGTGTGAGAGAGGGTGTGAAGAAATTGGAACCCTAATACACTGCTAGTGGGAATGTAAAATGGTGCAACCACTTTGGAAAACAATCTGGCAGATCTTCAAAACTGTTAAACATAGTGTTACCATATGGCCCAGCAGTTAGACTCCTAGGTATATAGACAAGAAGAAATGAAAATATATGTCCACATAAAAATCTGTATACAAATGTTTATACCAGTACTATTCATAACATCCCAAAAGTGTAAACAACCAAAATGTTCATCAATTGATGAACAGATAGACAAACTGTGGTCTATCCATAGAATGGAATATTACTCAGTCATTAGAAAGATGCTACAACATGTACAAACCTTGAAAACACTATGCTAAGTGAAAGAACCAATCACAGAAGATCACATATTATATGATTCCATTTATAGGAAATGTCCAGAACAGATAAATCTATAGAAATGGGAAGTAGATGAGTGGTTGCCTAGGGCTGCTAAAGTTGGGGAAAATTAGAAGTGACCTCTAATGAGCACAGATTTCTTTCTGGGGTGATGAAAATGTTCTCAGAATTGGCTGTGGTGATGACTGCATAACTCTTTGAACATACGTACTAAAAACCACTGGATTATACACTTAAGTAGGTGAATTATATGGTATGTGAATTTTATCCCAATAAAACTTAAAAAAACACAAACTTTTGCTCGTCATTTACCTTTTCTTAATAGGTTGTTTCTAATTGTTCATTATTATAAACAATATTCTGGAGAATAGTTCATACATAAAAAAAAAAACAGTCTACAGGTATCAGCTTAAAATGACTAATTCAGTTATCCTATACTAAAAGCAGGTTGATTATGCTATTTCCCGAAAGCCAAAATCAGTAGAAATTACTGAAATAACCCCCTTGCTTCTTCATCCTGTAAGTGAAAATATAAAACTGCCATCACTAGTAATTATCAATATGATTTCTAGAAAGTTCAGTTCAGCCCAATCTTTCTTAAAGAGCTTAGCAGAAAAATAACATAAGACTGCTTTCAGGGACTTCCCTGGTGGCACAGTGGTTAAGAATCCGCCTGCCAATGCAGGGGACACGGGTTCAAGCCCTGATCCAGGAAGATCCCACATGCCACAGAGCAACTAAGCCTGTGTGCCACAACTACTGAGCCTGCGCTCTAGACTCCATGAGCCACAACTACTGAGCACACGAGCCACAACTACTGAAGCCCACAGGCCTATAGCCCGTGCTCCGCAATAAAAATAAGCCACAGCGATGAGAAGCCCGTGCACCGCAACAAAGAACAGCCCCCGCTCGCCACAACTAGAGAAAGCCCATGTGCAGCAACAAAGACCCAACACAGCCAAAAATAAATATTTTTTTTAAAAAAAAGACTGCTTTCAATAGGAAAAATATGAAACTTCTGCAACATTATAATTGTAGTATTTAAAATTTTTAAATGCAATTTAAAACATTCCAAGTTTTTTGTTTTCTTATTTTTACCAGGTAAATTAAGGAGGTATTATGTTCTTTGTTTAATGCTATAAACTTTAGATATCAAGTATCAATAATCCAGCAAACATAATAAATTTAATTTAAATATTTGAAATTTATAGTTGATAACATCATGATCTGTGGAATAAAAAGAAAGCTGACTTAGCTGGGATAATTAAAATATTATCCAGATAACTGTTTTACATGGTAATCTGTAGTACATATTGAGCTACACCTAACACCGTAACAATATCCGGAACATTCGAAGTGTTAGCATTAAAAGGAAGTTCTGGTGCAAGTTCTGGTGCTATTAATGAAATGATAATAAAACCCACCACACCAGAATTAGCATTTGGATCTGCCAAGACTTTCAGACTCTACATTATCATTTAATGAAATTAAAATGATAAAACTAATTTCATATTTCAAATGTTTACTTCATCTAATACCCGAGACTTCATCTACAGACTTAAATACAAAAACCCAAGTCAAATAAAACATTTTATATGTTCTTGAATAATAGATGTTTTAATATATTTTAACTTCATACTCTATTATTTTTTTGACAGTCTTATCGGTTGAAAATAGATAAAAGCTATCAGTGTACTATAAAATACATTTCCTTTAAATTTCTTTTAAATATATTTTTTCTTTAAATGTCTAATCTAAACTCTGTATAAACATCAAAATTTATCTAAAATAATTATCTAAAAGAAGAATTATAACAGTTTCATAGGATTTTGGAAGTATTGCCCTTTTTTTTTTGAAATCAAAGTAATACATGTACATAGTGTTAATAAACAAGGGTTTTATAGAAGTTATAACAAAAACCCCTCTCCACTCCTAGTCACACTGCCTAGGACCTTTTTCAATTCTTTTAGCCATTACTTTTGGTATTTACTGCCGTATTTCTAAGCAACATGCATCTTCTGCTATTTATTGATTTAACAATTTAGTAATTATCTGTGAATCTCCAATTAATGAAAAATGAGGTCACCACCCCCACCCTCATATAGTTTCCACAATGCAATTTTCGTTAAATCTGCATTCAGCTTTACTTTGCTACGTAAACATTATTTACCCCTGAGCTAAATAGTAAACTATGATTACACTCCCTTTCTTCTGTAACTTTTTGGTTTTCCTTGAGTAATTACTGTCTAATTTTTATTTGCTTAGTTTTCTGTGTACTTAGCACTAATTCTTCCCAAAGTGTCCAACAAATTCATAAAATCTTTTTAATATGATCAAAACCATCAGGTAATCCTTTTTACCCCAGAGGGACTTTCCTCCTGGAGCTCTCTATCTTCTGTTTCTATGAGACAAGGTCTACTGGGCAGCTGTCATAGGAATAGCCCTGTGCACCAACATACTAAGCATTTCTTTCACCTATCTCCTGTGCTGGATCTACTGTGTTCTTCTCTGTTTTACTTCACCTCCTCATTTTTGTAGGACACATTCTCTAACAGCTTCCTCATAAAAAAATACATAGGAAATAAATTTTCCTATCCTTTTTCTACTATTTTCTATTTTTTTGTCTTTTTTTCCACTCTGTCAGCAATTTTTTTCAACTTTATCTTGCAACCCTTCTGAATTATTTTTCTGCTATCATATTTTAATTTTCAAGGGCTCTTTCTTGTTTATTCATTCTTTCAAAAATAATCACTGAACATCTATATCCAGACACTGTCCCTGAACAAAGGAGACAAGAAGCTTACTAAATTCCACTGGAGAGAAGAGACAGACAATAAACCAATAAATACAGTAAATAAGTAAATTATATAGTTTATTAGAGGATGGTAGGTCCTATGGACAAAAGAAAAAGTAGAACAGGTTAAAGAGGATCAACTGTGGGGGAGGCAGATTGCAATAGATAGGTAAATTTGGGTAGCCCTCATGAAGATGAAATTTGAACAAAGATTTGTGGTCTGTTCCTTTTTTTCTTTTTTTTAAGCACACTGTTTTCTGGTTCATGAATGTTATTTTCAATTACTATTTTTGAAGTTTTCTTCTGGTCACTGATGCTCAGTTTTATTCAACTTCTTGGGGTTTTTTGTTGTTACTGTTTATTTGATGTTTGAGTGCTTTTTCCACTCAAATGTCTGGTGATCAATCCTTGGCAGTTTGTTTATTTTTAAAGAGTAAAGCACAAAAACCTCCATGTGTACAAGTGGGGAAAATTGAGTTATCTGGTTTAAACATGGTCATTTCATTGAAGGAATACCAAACCTCTTAAAGTTCTAAATCTTTTCTCTAGGCTTGGTCTGTTTTTCCAGGAAGGAATTCTCAAGTTTTCTGCCAAAGAACATAAGCTTCAAACAGGAAAAGGAGATAGGGACATCAGGGGAAGTGAGTGGATGGTATCTCAACTTTTAGTCTTTAAGTAGACTTTCACTTAAACCCCTTTTCTGTTTGATACCTTACTCCCACTCTCCCACTGTACCTGGTCACCCCAAGTCCAAACTCTAAATGGTTTAATTTTTCAATAAACTTCCTACATCCTGCTAAAGTGGGAAAGAGATATCACCTGAGGGCAGGGGAGAAGGGAATCTGAAATTCCAAATATTCCTCATAGAGAATTTCAACTAACTCTGTTATTTTTTTAGCCCTTTCTTTCATTGCTTCATTCAGAAGTAGTTGAATGAGCCTCTAAGAAGTTCAAAGCTAAAATGAGGTTGTTTCTCATTGGCACTTCCCTCTTTAGGCACTCAGGCTTCAGCTTTCTTAGCTTTGCTAAGTCAAACATCAGTAATCCATTAGCCATATATCATCCAAAAATTTACTAACATCTTTCATCAGTTGCATATCCTCTTCCATTCTCTTTGACTTTGTTAGTTTACACATTTTATATTCCTTCCTTACCATTTTAGTGAGGTTTTGGGGAAATGCAGAGAGACAAATACCAAGTTTAACTGGAGATTCCCCTTCTTCTTTTTTAAGATAAAATAAAAAATAAGGTAAATACTATAATACAGTGGATCTTACTAACAACCTACAAAATAACTGAAAGCTGTTATTAGAAAAACTCCTTAGAAACACACACAAAAAAATCTGGATAAGAGACTATAAATAGCCTTCATTTGTCACATTCTATGATTTATATGGTAAGTTTTTTAAAAAGGAGTCAGGATTAATTAAAAATAGTATAAAGTGTTACCTGTAAGATTCTAGAAGATCCACAATTTCAGTCTGTCCAAAGTGTTTAGCCCAATCTAAAGCCATCCTGACAAAATTCAAAGATATCGAATTAAGAAAGAGAAATAATATTCTCAAAATTATAAAACCAGTTACTCAAATTTATTCATTCACCCATTAAAGTAGAGATGTATGAGCAATTATTACAAATAGCTTTTAATATAAAGACATATAAGAAATCAAAATAGATATGTGTAGTTATACAAAGATATACAAAGAATGAATGCAATTTAAAATTACCAGCCATTTGATGCTTTAATATGAACATTGGCTCCCATACTAATTAACTGTTCTACTTGACTTGAAAAACCTCGTCCTGCAGCAACCATCAAAGCTGTTGCACTGGTTTCACTATGTCTGTAATCCACTAAAAGAAGGAAAAGATACATAAATGTTACATTTCCAAATTACTTTGGAAAATCATTTTAATTTTCTTGAATGTTAGCAGAATTAACCTGGGACTTGCTCCTTTACCTAAGTATATAACAGCATTGTATAACCTTTAACTCAGTTGATCCAAGAAGATCTGATACTGATGTATCCTTAGTATAAGCAGGACGAAATAGGTACTATCAGTTGGAAGGCAGGAGAAGGAAAGATAGTTGTTAATTAAAATAGAAAAGGAAAGCTACTAACTTTGTAGAATCCTTAAGTAATCTTCCTAGATATGCCTTGACCAAATGACAAGATATAATTAAAGAAGAATTAAAAAGTTAATTTTCATCAGTATCTGGTAATGAATGCTTAAAAGGGCAAATGAAAAGTTCAAAATGATTTTTTGAGGTCCTTTTGTTTTGCTTTTATTACCCCATCATGCCAGGTTCTTATTATCTTAGATGCTTAATGAGAATAACACTGGCAGGAAGTTTACTTCCCATAAAACCCTTCCATGAGAAAAAAATTAAACTTTTATTGAATTTAAATTCATTCTTAGAATATATTTCAAGCAATGCAACATACTATAATTACTGAGAACTAATTTTCATAAATCACAAAATTAAAAAATGTCAGAAAGAAATCACCACTGAAAAAAAACCTCTGTAGTAAAATTTAAGATAATTACAAAAGGAAAAATTTAATTTTCCATATATACCCAATTATCCTCATAATTTAACAACCCTCTAAGACATGGTATGCGTTATTAATATAAGCCAACGGTTCTTAAGGTGGGGAGAGGAACCTATGGAGAGAATTACTTCAGGCTTTTTATTTCTGAAAACACAGATAGCTATGCCTTACTCCTAGATTAAGATTCAGTAGGTCTGGGATGGCCAGGAACATGCATTATTACAGAGATCTGCAAAGATTATGATTTGTACTCAATATATGGGAATTACTGTTCAACGGAATATTCAATTAGGGGTATGGATAAGTGTGGGAGTTTGAAAACATCCAAAAATTCTTTAATACTCTTCCCTTCAAGGGGTGGAGCCTAATTCCCTTCTCCTTGAGTGTGAGCTGGACTAAGTGACTCATTCTAGCAAATAGAATAAAGTGGAAAAGATGGTGTGCAACTTTGGAGACTAGGTCATGAAAGGTACCTATAGCTTCCTGCTTGCCTTTTCTTCTTCTCTTCTGAATCACACACTCTGGGAGAAGCCAGCTGCCACATTCTGGGAAGAATAAGGCAATCCTATGGAGAGGTCCAGATGGCAAAGAACTGAGGCCTTCAGCCAACAGCCAGAGACAAACTGAGGCCTCTAGCCAACAGCCATATGAGTGAGCCTTCTTGGAAGCAGATCCTCCAGCCGCAGTAAACCTTAAGATGACTGAACCCCTGCCAACAGCTTAACTACTACTCCATGAGTGACTAGGAACCAGAACCACTCAGTTAAGCCACTCCCAGATTCTTGACTCTCAGAAACTATGTGAAATAATAGATGTTTCAGGTTGCTAAGTTTGGGAATCATTTGTTATGCAGCAATAGATGATTAGCATCCAGCGTTCCACAGAATGCCTAGTCTTACAAAACCAGCTAATTACTACCTGGTTATACAAGATCACAGAGGGAAATTGATATGATTAAAAAAAAATCTACCAAGCCCAAGGCTTCCTGGATCACATGAAGTATTCTCAACTCTGGTGCCAATTAAGAGTTGAGATTTTAGAAGAGAAATAAAAACATGGGAAGTAAATTACTGTTCATAGAGATACCATAACATTTTAGTTTACTACATACACATGGCCTAAGACATTAGAATACTGGGCTCCGGAAAATGTCCAATAAAACTATAAAGGAGAGGGACCTGGATGGTCATAATGGATGACCATTATCAAAGTAATAGTCTAGTACTCTCTAAAGAAATATCGAGGAAGAGGGTCAAAGATAATACAAAAATACTTTAAAATGTTTTATAAATATTTTAAAGCAACATGTCTCAGAGTTCAAATTTCCTAACTTATGGATAGAAACCTAAATGAAGTAGGCATTGGGCCATATGAGTATCTGTGGGGACCACGTTCCAAGCACAGAAAACAACAAAAGCAAAGGCCCAAAGGCGGGAATGGGCCATATGAAGAGCATATATGAAGAGCAAGAAGACAAGAGTGGCTAAAGCACAGTGAACAAGGAAAAGAGTAGTAGAAAATGAGATAAAAAAGACTGTCAGAGACTAAATCAGGGAAAGAACTTTGATTTTTATTCAAAGTGTAATTGAAAGCCATGGGACAGCTAAGAGAAGAGAAGTGGCATGATCCAATTTCCTTGTCAAAAGGATCAATCTGATTGTTCTCTGAAGAACAGACTAGTAACATAAGAATAGAAGCAGTTAATTGTCCACTGTGATAGTCCAGGAAAAAATGTTGGCTTTGACTAGGATGGCAGCAGTAGAGGAAGTAAAACATGTGAGATTCGGGATTTATTTAGAAGGTAAAACTAACAAGATTTGCTAATGGATTGTATGTGGGGTATGAGAGCAAAGTCAAAGATGATTTTATATTTTGTTGCCTTAGCAACTAGGTGAATGGTAGTACCCTAGAGTTAGATTCAGTGTGCCTGGGATGGCCAGGCACATGCATTTTTAAAGAGGTCTACAACTGATAATGATCACTAAGGGAACACTAAGGAAAAAGCAGGTTGAGAGAGAGGTAGAGAAACAGAGAATCAAGTTGTTTGGGGAATATCTAGTTTTATTCCCCTAACAGACTCCCAACCGGAGATGTCAAGTGGTGAGGTGTATTGAAGTGAGGGGGGAGTTCAGGATTGGAGACGTAAAATTAGGACTCATTTTAAATAAATATTTAAAGCTTCGACTAGATGAGATCCATCTAAGGAGTAAGTGTAAATAGAAGGAAGGTCTGAGGATTGAGGCCTGGGACATTCCATATTCAGAGGTCAAGAAAAAGAAAAAAATCCTGCCAAGGAAACCAAGACATACCAGCCAGGGTGATGAGAAGAAAATAAATCAAGTATGGAGTATCAGAAGTTAACTGAAGAACATGTTTCAAGAAAGGAGTGATCAAGTATAGTAATAATAATGCTGAGAAGTTCAAGTGAGGGGATAAACTACTTGACATCTAAATCCCTTCCAGTAATGACCTTTTATTATCATCATTCTACCTTTTGCCTAAAAGCCTTCAGGGTCCTAAAACTCACCCCTGATTGCCAATATCCATTATAACCAACTAACGAAATCAGAATAAATCATTAGTGAAAATATGTCATGTGACATAACGCAGGTACATGTGAATCAGAACTTGAACCTATATAACTAAAGGTATACTAAAATTTTCCATTTATTCAATGAACAATCTAGAGTTAAAGTTATTAACATTTTTCCCCTGTTTTGAAATAACAAATCTCTTTGAAAACCCAAGATACTCCAGGGGTAAAGGTGATGCATAGGGGGAGTATATTTATGTCACAAATTTTATACACATAAAAATACTTTTGGGGCTTCCCTGGTGGCGCAGTGGTTGGGAGTCCGCCTGCCAATGCAGGGGACGCGGGTTCGTGCCCCGGTCCGGGAGGATCCCACGTGTCGCGGAGTGGCTGGGCCCGTGGGCCATGGCCGCTGGGCCTGCGCGTCCGGAGCCTGTGCTCCGCAACGGGAGAGGCCGCGGCAGTGAGAGGCCCGCGTACCGCAAAAAAAAAAAAAAAAAAAAAATACTTTTGCATATAACTGTCATATATTCACAGACCCCATGAAACTATTCTGGAGACATTAGGTTAAGAGTCCCTGATTTAATACAATACTTATCTATTCTACTATGCTAATAAGAAGATCCTGATTTGTACATTTGAAATAGTACTCCAAAAGAACAAAATATTGGTTGTGAACAAAAAGTGAATTTTGAATTTTATGAATTAAGCTACACTTCTATCATAATAAATAACTTCAAGAGTAATACAAAAAACTTAAATAAATTATACTTACCACTAACATTTTCAGTTAAAATAAGGTGAAAGACCTGAGCAAAGGCATCAACATCTTTACGCAGCCATATGTCAGAAAGACAAGCATCCATTTCCTTTATTAACCATGGTTCAAGGCAATTCACATCTTTTTCTGTCTTTAAAAAGAAGCAAAGATTATAAATTACTAACAGCTTAACCTTTGCTTGCAAAGAACATGAGATGGCCATAAACAGCCACAAGAACTACTAACCATTCGGTATTACAGCAAAGGCTTTGCATAAAAGTTTCTCATCTCATCACAAACATAATCACTCACAATATTGTACCTTGTTTTCACATTCATCTTTTATCTGAGAATGAGCCTGTCAACAAAGGAGTATGATACAGTCACAATATTAACTGTGCTTCTGACAGAATGTTGCTAAATGTACCTGTCTATCAGTGGTCTTATGTCCCAACTGCACAACAGAGGAAACATCACCTGGAGCTTTTCAACACTGAAGCCACGTCCCACCCCAGAGCAAGTACTTCAGAATCTCTGGAATGGAGGCCAGATTCCATAGGACTTTAAAAGTTCTTTAGGGGATGTTACTGTGCAGCCAGGCTTAAGAATCACTAATTTAGGGACTTCCCTGGTGGCACAGTGGTAAAGAATCAGCCTGCCAACGCAGGGGACACAGGTTCGAGCCCTGGTCTGGGAAGATCCCACATGCCACGGAGCAACTAAGCCCGTGCACCACAACTACTGAGCCAGTGTTCTGGAGCCCGCGAGCCACAACAACTGAGCCCGTGTGCCACAACCACTGAAGCCCGCATGCCTAGAGCCCGTGCTCCACAACAAAGAGAAGCCACCACAATGAGAAGCCCGCGCACCACAAAACAAAGAGTAGCCCCCACTCGTTGCAACTAGAGAAAGCCCACACTCAGCAATGAAGACCCAATGCAGCCAAAAATAAACAAATAATTAAAAAAAAAAGAATCACTAATTTAAATGGTCAAAATGCTGTTCACTGAACCAAATGGATGTTCCCTGCACTAAATAACAATTTTTAAATATTCTTTAAAAGTACACATTCTTTAAAACTATAGTTCATTTGGATGCATCAGAACTTTAAACACTGGGAGAAAACTGCAAGCATATCTGCATTATGTAGCTTCTCATGCTCAAAAGAGTTAAATTCTTTTTCTAAAAAGTGCATAGTCCCAGCCATCTCACTAATCACCAATGCCTTTTTAAGAATTCTAAACCAGAATCAAAGACCAGAAGGGACCTAGGAAATCCGCTGGTTCCAGTTTTCAAACAGACTCCAAGGAATCCAAAGTAGCAGAAGCCCTGCTTAGGGGTGGGGATGGAGAGTGATGGATGAGCAGGCAGGATTTCTACAAAATATTTCATTTGTAAAAGATATTGTGGCAAAATAGAAGGGAGAAAAGCAGAGAGAAAAAGAAACTGAGGTCTATAGTGGGTAATTGATTTTACAGATTCACACGGCTTTGTGGTATAAACATCAGTCTTGATTACTTGCCCTAATACCAAGAGGCTTTTCTCAGTTTTTTCCTAACTTAGCTTATCTTGCATTGCTTAGCTCATAGGTTCTTAAACTTCTGAGATGATAAAATATCTAGCAATAATAATGTATGTATATATACATAATATCTACAACTATTTTCTTCACAAAATTTATAGAAAATATTGAAATAGTTTTAACTCAGAATGAAACAATAAAAGATGTTGCATTATTTGAAAAAAAAAGTGTGTAGAAAATTATTCTGAAAAATGTGTTGTAGTCTAAGATAAACTAAGGGAATTATGCCTTAAGAATGTAATAAAAAATATAATCTCATGAAATGTTCTTTAAATTACACAATTTTCACTCAAAATAGCAGTGTGAAACCACTGAGGTCTTACCAACTGACTGAAGACGGCATCACCACCATCATCCAATAAATCATTTTCTTCAGTTACATTTGGGACAGCTCTCTGTCTCTGAGATTCAGGCTTGAAAGTATTCTCTTGAGCTGAGTACCATTCTGTAAGTGTGGTTTGTTGTCTTTCTTCTAAATTAATTACCAAAGAAAATAAGTAGATAAATTCTTTGCTTTTTGAAATATATTTCTTTGTTTAAAAAACTTAAGTGAATCTGAAAATACCTAAAAGTTGGCCTTATTTTAAAGTTACTTTTTAAAAATATATTAATTAGGAACATTCAATAAAATGTGTTATGCTGAACCAAAAGGAGACATGAAACTGCTTTATAAAACCTCATCTATTCATCTACTAGTAAGAAGTTTACTTCTGAATCAGGACATAATTTAATGAACAGTATTTTAGCCATATAACAAATAATGTTTAAATCAATGACTAATATTCATATAGCACTTTGTAGAAAATCATTTATTGAATTTCTACCACCATTCTGTTTGAGACACAAGTTATATTCAATTTTCATCTTCAAAAGTTTTGAGAACCAGAAGTTTTATAATTTACATATTAGTGATTCAGCACTGCACTGTGACACAGGCATTGCTAATTGCTTTTTTCAAGTGAAGAATCCAAAGAAGTTAAGATTATTTGTCCAAGGTTATACTAACTAAACAAAGGAATCAAAGCTTGAAGCCAAGTCTTCCATCATGAATAATGTAATTAAAAGTAAGCAAAAGGAACTTAACCTTAATTCAAAAGCTGAGATATAGTATAAATCATAAGAGATGTATTAATAGGCAAGTAATGTTAAATTCAAAGTACTGATGCAATTCATAACAATATCAAGATTTGAAAAACTCAACAATTATACCAAAGATGAGCCTGTTATTACTCATGTGCTACTCTTTTCACTTCCTCACCCACTCCCCACTCCCACTCTATAACATATGCTGGGGACAGCCAGCACAAATCTTCTGCCTCCTTAAAATAGTGGTTGAATATTTGGATACAGACACACTCAGCCTCCTCAACTCTGGCATCCCCTTTCAATTCCTCTCTATAGATTATAACTTCTAGACATAAACCAGAATGTAGAACTTCCACATGGGACAGTATTCTAATATAATATTCTACAACTATACACAGAGAGAAATACTTTCAAGTGTCCTTGTATCTGCATAGTATAAGACTGGAGTACTCCAAAAAGTCAATATCAATAGTAATTTTCTTTTATATTTGTTTGATAAAAAGCTTACCTCGTTGTTTTTCCTTTTTGTATTTTAACATTTCTTTATTTGTGTATCCAGTAGTTCTTAAAATGTCTTCCAGAAACATTTCTTTTACTTCAAATGGTCTTCCCTGTACTAAACAGGAATTTTTTTAAACAGTCAATTTGCATCTTAGAGATAATTCACATAAAAACATGAGATTCTCAAATTAATAAATCTGAATATTAATCCAAAGGCAATTCCATAGGTCAAGTGATCCTCATATTGTCCTTTAAATATAACTCTGATCTATATTTTAGACAACTGTTCATTTGCATGTTTTTTTCCAGTGTTTACTATTTACTTGATTGTTTGGCATCATGCTAGGCACTAGGAATATAAATGGTAAGCAGAAACAGAGTTCCTCCTGCTCTCTTGAAGCTTGAAGCTTGTAATCTAGCAGGGGAATCTGACATTAATCCAATAATCCAAAACATCAATGTAAAAATAAAGTTGTAAAAAGTCCTGTGAGAGAGAAGTACAAGATACCATGACAGTACATAATAGGGGAATTTGAAGGAATCAAGAAAAGCATCTTCACTGAGAAAAATGAGAACCAAGAGAAGGGAGTAAACAAAATAACTAAGCTACACAGAGAGGAAAGAGTATACTATGAAGAAAAAAACAGTATGTACAAAGCCCCTATGGTGAGAAAGAGTATGATGTTCTCAAGGAACTAAAAGGCCAAGCTAGTTGGAACATGATGTGAAGAGGGGTGTGAAGAAGGGATTGTAGTTCAAGATGAGGCAGAAGAAATAGATAAGTCTTATTAAGGGTTTAGGTCTTTATTCTGAGGTAAAGGTTGTTCAAAATTTCAAGCTCATGAGAGTATTTAACATCATCAAAATTCCACTTCAGAAATCTGGCTGAAAATTCCACGTTGGCTGCAACATGGGGAATGGATTTAAAAGAAACCAGAGTGGATGAAACAGACCAGGTAGGAGCAATTACAATAGTTCACGATGAAGAGGACAATAACCTGAACAAGATTGGTGATAGTAAAAATGGAAGGAGACAGACAGACTAGATAGATGGGAAGTAAAATCCACAGAACTCAGCATTAGATTGGATATGGAAGAATGATAAGGAAGTGTCAACCACAGTTCTTGAAAGCCTGGCTTACAAAACTCAATGGATGATGTTGTCATTTTCTGAGGCTGACAAGGAAAGCTAAAAGAAAAACAGGTTGGCTTGTGGGAGCCGGGGTTTGGTCAAATGTTAGGTGCCAAAATGACCTTCAATTAGCAGATGCATAAATTTTATGTGCCTTACCACCCAGTAATATTATGAGCAAAACGTCTTACAGGTTTATGACTTAGGTGATTAGGTCAATGGTATGATTAACCAAAACAGGCAACACAAGAGAAGCAGATTTTTTAGAAAGGATTAAGTATTCAGTTTGGGCATATTAGAGGGGAACTGCTTATAAGCAACCAAGTCCAAAGCTCTGGAGAACAGTTTGAACTGGGAAATAAAGATTCAGGACTCATCAGTGCAAGAGAAAGTAGAAGGCAAGGTCAAGAATGAGATCTTCCAGGAAAACTAACTGTGCACCCCCAGTACCTAGTAGAGAACAGCATAGAGCAGGAAAGAGAGAAAAAGCAAAGAAATCAAAGAAGGAAGGGAAGGGAAAGGGGATGGGGAAGGGCGAGGAAGGGCAGGGAAGGGCAGGGAAGGGAAGGGAGGGGAAGGAGGAAAGGGAGGGGAGGGAAGGGAGGAAGAGGAAAAAAATGGGTCATGGGAAAAATCCTCAAAAATATCAATATTTAAGCACGATGCAAAAGAAGAGAAGCCCACAGAGGAGACCAAGAAAGTACAGGCTGTAATACAGAATGAGACTTAGGATGTAGTTCTGGCAAATAAATTATGGGATACGAGCATTTCACAAAAAAAGGGTAACGATTATGAGAAATACTACGGAAAATATAAGTAAGATTTTTATGTAAAATTAAATCAATTTCAAAACAATACTGGTAAGAATGCACAAATGAATATCCCCATAAACTGCGGAAATGTGAATCATTTCAGCCTTTTGAAAAAGTAAAATGACAAAACCATCTTACTGTTAAAATTAAAAATAGATACATTCTTTTACTCAACAATTTCACTTTCAGGAATCTATCCTTAGAAATAAGAGCACCAATATATAAGAATATATGTAGAAGGATGCTCATAACAACGATGTTTATAGTAGGGGAAAGGGAGAATCCAGGACCAATCTAATGTCCAAATATTAAGAAATGGTTAAATAAATCATGGTACATTCATACTAGGAAATATAAAAGCAGTTCTTCAATATAATGAACTACATCTAGAGCTTCTAAACTGGAGAACTGTTCATGATATACTGTCATATGAATAAAGCAAATTGCAAAACATTGTATATGGCATGTGCCCATTTATGTAAAAACCATTTTCTATAAACCCAATATATATGTATATATTTACATATGTTGTATGAGCATGGACAAGGTGAGACAGGATATACACTAGGCTTCAACATCAAGTAATCTCAGGGAAGAAAAGATATGAAATGAAGAGAAGACAGGTGATTGTGAACTTTTTCCCTGAATGTCTGTACTATTTCACTGAGGTAAACACATACAACTTTTTCAATTTTTGAGGAGGAAATCAATAATTTTTTTTAGAGATTGGTGGAAAAACCAGATTTGATTAAAGGATAAGGACAAAATTTAAGTGGCAACATATTTAGAAGTACCTGGGAGGTAAACACGGGCATTAAGACTACTCTTTGAAAGAGTCTAGCAATAAAGGCAAAGCTATAGGACAGAATTTAAAGGGGAATACAAAATAAAGCATATCTCCTTTTAAGACTAGAGAACAGGCTCACTACACAATACCAAAGAGTTGTAGATGGAAAAGGAGAGGATGAAAATATATAGATATGACTGATTAAGCATATTTCAGAGAAAACATAAACAGATGCTCTATACATCAGAACATTCCCCAATTTCTATTATAATAAATAAAATCAAGCCAAAAAAGTATTCTTTCATACAAATCCTAGAAGAAATCTGACAGTTTAACTTACTGTATGTCACTGGACAACTCCCGAAATATCTCATAAAAAGATTTACATCTAAGGCAGCACTAGAAAGAACTAGTTTCAAAGTTGGGTACTTCTGCAACAAATCTCTTAACTTTGTAAGTAAAAAATCACTAAATCGATCCCTTTCATGTACTTCATCCTGCAATAAACAAAAACAAAACCATGGAACACTTAAAATACAAAAATAAAGTCTTTAAAATTATGGAGCTGCTGGGTTTCACACTAATTCAAGTTAAATGTGGACACAGCCAATTAGTGAAAATTTTGTATTATGGACAATTTAGAAATAATCAGACATTAACGACCTACTGTGGGTAACAAAACACTGCCCTTTTTCCCACAAAAACTACAACAAATGCTGAATTAGTGGAGTCTAATTTAATGTAATTTTAATAAATACAAAATCTATTTTAATATGCTTCTGTTAACATCAGGACCAGGTGCATCCTGTGGTTTGAATGCACAGAACTAATAAGTTTCCAAAAGCTGCTCTATCACAAGCTTATAAAACTTAATCTAAGTTTTCTGACACAAACTGGATAAAAGCTTAGAATTCTTTAACAAGGTGGTAATTCATCTACTTATTTCATCAGGAGCTAGTTAATTTAGCAGCTTAACCATGAAGTTAAATGACTTTAAAGTATGCCTCTAAGATTTGGAAGAGAAATCAGATGACTAAGCACAGAGAAAAAAGAAAACTTTCACCATTCTGGAGAACTCTTAAAATACATGTGCCATTTTCATATATAAAAAGCACTTTTTAAAAAACTATCTACTTATTTTATTCTCACTCATAAAACCTGATGGTAAGAATATCTTTATTTAACATAAAATATTTATTTCTAACAATTATGGACAATAAAAAGTAACTTGAGGGACTTCCCTGGTGGTCCAGTGGTAAAGAATCCACCTTACAATGCAAGGGACACGGGTTCGTTCCCTGGTCAGGGAACTAAGATCCCACATGCCGCAGGGCAACTAAGCCCGCACGCCACAACTACTGAGCTCCTGAGCCTCAACTAGAGCCCACATGCTCTGGAACCCGCACGCCACAACTACAGAGCCCACATGCCCTGGAGCCTGCACACCACAACTAGAGAAGAGAAAACCTGCAGGCCACAACTAGAGAGAAGCCTGCTCCACAACAAAAGATCCTGCATGTCTCAACGAAGATCCCGCATACAGCAACTAAGACCCTAAGATCCGACACAGCCAAAAATAAATTAAATAAATAAATCTTTAAAAATAAAAAATAAAAGTTTAAAAAAAAGTAACTTGATTAGAATAGCCTGTTTTAAAAAAATTGGTTCTCATTTATATCCTATTCTAAAAATTTAATTAGATATTTAAATTTAAATATTCTTACCACAATAACATGTGTCACAGTTGACAATGAACTATCTCCTGCCATCAGAGTACGAAGCAGTACCCCATTGGTGCAAAATGTCAGAAGTGTCTTTGGAGAAACCCTTTTTAAAAAATCAAAAAAGTTCACAATTACAAATCTTTTATGTAATTAAAACAAGGTCATATATTAAATGCTAGTGTCCTTTGTACTTAATAAGTGTTACTAATATAACAGTGTACTAGTATATATGCTTTATTAGCAAAGTTATGTGAAATATGTATTTTATGCCTGACAATCTTACAAATTTATTATTACTAACAGCCTTTTATTAATTTAGTAATTATTTTGTTAAAGAACTTAAAAAGATTTTTTTTAAAGATCTTAAACATTTTTTACTTGGGGGAAAAAAGTGTATCATAAATGAGATTAGCTTTTTGAATCACTATATCCAAATAACTATGAGCAAAGAAATGGTACTACTTCTCAAGAAGGTACTACTAGTATTACTACTACTAATAATAATAATCAATTCAGTCACTAACATTTACTGAGTGCTTACTATAAACTTCACATCAAACCTGTGCTCTAGATGCTTTCATTAGCCCCATTTTATACATGAGGAAACTAAGACTCAAAGAGGTGAAATAACTTGCACTTTATCATGAAACTATGAAACAGGATTTCTATCTACGGCCCAAACTCTTTTTCAAGCTATTTATTTATTCAAAACCTCACTAAGTTTAGACATGAGCTCAATGGCCTATTATAAACTTACTTGGAGCAAAATGATCATCTAACTTTTCAACTAACACATGCTCTATATTTAGTGAAATATAAATATTTAGTCTTTTCTGAGAATGATAAAAAGCTACAGGTGAATTGTCTTTACCTGCTTTCTAAACGGATCTGATACCCAATTGTCTGACCAATCCTTTCTCTTCTCTCTGCAGCAACTCTTTCAGCCACAGCAATAGCTGCTAATCGTCTTGGTTGAGTACAAAATATACGGCAGGGGATACCATTTTTAAAGCAATCATCTAAAAGGAACTGAGGAATCTGAAACAAATTTTAAAGTACTGTAAGACAACATAATTGTATATCCAGAAAATCCATGTCAATCAACTGAAAAACCATCAGAACTAAAAAAGTTATGTAACATGTCCAAACATAAAATAATCATAAAACCAACAACTTTCATGTAACTGCTAATAATCAGCTAAAAAATGTAATTTAAAAAGATCTTGTTCACAATAGAAACTAAAACTAAAACACTTAAAAACAGAATTATAAAGAAATAGTTAAGGTTTACATGAAAAAGATTATAAAACACTACTGAAAAACCAAGATTATAAAACACTACTGAGAAACATAAAAGACGGGAATATACTAGAAAAATACAACATATTACTGGATAGGAATAATCAATATTGCAAAAATGTCAATTCTCCCCAAGTTATCCTATAAAGTCAATGAAACAACAATCAAAATTCCATTGGAATTTTTTAAATAGTGAAAAATATAAAGAAACCAGAAATAGCCTAATACCAGGATTGCAGACACTTTTCTATAATTAAATTTAAACAGGTCAGAAAGATTTAAAATAAAAAGTAAAAGTCTTCCCCACCCATACTACTACCAATAGTCCTCTCCATGAAAGTAACTACTGTTAATTTTCTTATAAACTCTTTTGGGGGAAAAAAAAGTTTATACAACTTAAATTATTTGTGTATATTTGTGTATTGTGTATAATAATATTTGTGTATTGTGTATAAATTATTTGTGTAAACAGGTTTTTATTCACACAAAGTCATTATTATACTTAATGTTTGTAATTTGCAGATGTCACTTAATAACACATCAGATCTACCTAATCCATTTTAATAGCTGCACATTCCATCTTATGGATGTGTTATAACTTAACAAATATGACTATACATTAAGTAATTTCCAGTTTGTTTAGGCTTGTTATTTTTGATGCTGTTGCTTACTATTAAAAAGAATGCTGCAGTGAACATCTATCTTCACATACTTACGCAAAGACAAATATATGTGGAGTCAAAGAGTACATAAATTTAAATTTTTATAGAAAAATTATCAATCTGCTCTTCAAAACAATTTATACTTTTACCAACAGAGCAGAAGATGCTGTTTTCCCAACACCTATGCAAATGCTGGATTTCATCAATTTTTAAATTTCAGCCAATCTAATAGTTGAAAAATATAATTATTGTTTTGATTTCATTTCTTTAACTATGAGTGAAAAGGACATCTTTTCATGCACGTCTTACCCTCCAGGATTTTTTAAAATTTGACCAGTTCATTCGGAAGCATAAATGCAAACAAACTGCTAAGAAATATCTAAAAAGAGAAGCTAATAGTAAAGAGGAATATTATGCTACATACTGTAAAACTACAAAATTCAAAAAGTGAGATCTTGGTGTAGGAACAGATAATTAAAAATACATAACAAAAATTCCAGAAATATACCCAGGTACTACAGAAATTTAGTATTTGATCAAAAGTAGTATGCACCCCAATGTTCACAGCAGCACTATTTACAATAGCCAAGACATGAAAGCAACCTAAGTGTCCATCAACAGATGAATGGATAAAGATGTGGTGGGTATATATATATATATATATATATATATATATGTATGTATATACACACACATACATATACACACACACACACACACACACGTACACAATGGAATATTACTCAGCCATAAAAAAGACTGAAATGTTGCCATTTGCAGCAATATGGATGGACCTAGAGAATATCATACTAAGTAAGTCAGACAGAGAAAGACAAATATTATATGATATCACTCATATGTGGAATCTAAAATATAATACAAACGAGTCTATTTAAAAAACAGAAACAGACTCAAAGACATAGAAAACAAGCATATGGTTACCAAAGGGAAAAGGGAAGAAGGGATAAGTTAGGAGTATGGGATCAATAGATACACACTACATAAAATAGATAAGCAACAAAGATTTACTATATAACACAGGGAACAATATTCAATATCTTGTAATAACCTATTATGAAAAATAATCTGAAAATAATTTTTTATATATATATATATATATATATAAAACTGAATCACTTTGCTGTACACCTGAAACTAACACAATATTGTAAATCAACTATACTTCAATTTTTAAAAAGTAGTATCTTAAAATCGGGGGAAGGGATTATTAAATGAAAATTATATTGGAACACTATATACTAACATATTGGAACACTAGATACTAACATAAGGAAAAAAGTTAGATTCCTACCTGATATGACACAATAAAATAAACTCCAGATGGATTTTTAAAACTACAAATATAAAAGTATTAGAATAAAATATTTGTAGGAAAATGTTTTTTAATCTTGGGGTAGAAAGTGATTTTCTGAGCATGGCATGAAGCCCTAAAAAAAGGCTGACAGATTTGACTAAATAAAAATGTAAAACTACTAACCAAGATACCATAAGCAAAGCTAAAAAAGCAACCAAAAAATTGTGAGAAATTGTTTTTAAGATATATAACACATAACAGCCATGTATCCATAATGTACAAAGCATTATTAAAAATAAATCCAAAATGATTAAACCTAAAGAAAAATAAGATATAAATAAGTAACTCACAGAACATAAATAGATAATAAGCAAACGAAAAGATACTCAACTAAGAATCAGAGAAATGCAAACTAAACATTATTTTTTGCTTATCAGATTGATAAAGGTAAAAAATAAATTATATCCATTGTTACCTAAGTTTTAGAGAAATGGGAACTTTCAATACATTCAGTACTATTTTAATACGATAAGTCTTTTTTGAATTAACAGACAGTAACTAGTTAATCTAGCTACTAAAATTTTAAATGCAATATTTTTGATCCAGCATTTCCACTTCTAGGAATTTATCCTATTAAAACATTCCCACAAATTAGAAAAGAAATATTAGGATGCAATATAATAAAGTAAGTACAGAGTAAGATTCCTGCTCTGCCACTTCCTAGTTATGTGAATTTGGGTAGATTAACATCTGTAAGTTTTAGTTTTTATTCCACATCTGTAAAAAGAGATAATAACAAGCCTACATATCTTGGGTTAATAAGAGGTTTAATTAAGATAACTGTTGTAAAACTTCAGCAGGCAGTAAACAGTCATTTATTTTATCACTGTTATTACAAAAATGCTCAGGAATGCTACTCAATTGTTTAAAAAATGAGGTCTATCGCTAGGTACTAACACAGAAAAATATCCAATATCTATTAAGTGAAAAAAGCAAGATGCAAAGCGTATACATATTATCCCATGTTTGTTTTAAAAATAATCTATATCAATACTGTAAAGAGAACAAAAACAAAACAAACAATCCCCCGAAAAACCCAGAAACATATACTCCAAGTTTCTGACAATAAACCAGGGAGAAATATAAAAACATTATATTTTCTATAATGTTTGAATTTTATATAATGAACATTCAAAAGGCAAATAGGGGTTTCCCTGGTGGCGCAGTGGTTGAGAGTCCGCCTGCCGATGCAGAGGACACGGGTTCGTGCCCCGGTCCAGGAAGATCCCACATGCCGCGGAGCGGCTGGGCCCGTGAGCCATGGCCGCTGGGTCTGCGCGTCCGGAGCCTGTGCTCCGCAACGGTAGACGCCCACATAACAAAAAAAAAAAAAGGCAAATAACTTCCTAACGCTCCCAAAGGAAAGATGAAAATGGCTAATGATACTAACTTCAAACTGTCATATTTGTATTTCATAGGACAGGAACATTAGTAATTTTACTTGAACTCCTTGAACAAGATACAATTATTTCTTAGGTTTAAACCCATTTAGATTAATAGTTTCTTTTGAAAAGCAAAGAGAATAATATTTAATTCCTAACTAAATTCTCCAGATCTTTTCATACCTAGTAAAATGATACACATAATTGTGAAAATAGACATCCATAATTCCAGTATACAAATATCCTTAGGAAGAACACTCAAATAATTTAAATAAAACCATATTTGTTATATTTTATCAAAACTTTCATTATCTCTATTTGATATAATTAAAATGGCTACAATTAACATCAACTGGCAAAACTTTCTAATACTAAAACAATTATAACAATCTAAGACATCTGAACAGATTCTTTGGCATGACTCCATGGAATTTCACTTAATCATAATCATGTTGAAGAAAAATCTTATACATTGTCTTCATATAAAAATTTCATCACGTTTGTAATTAGTTTTATAGGCTCAAGTTTTAGGTATAACGAGTTGCACTTCTGTGAAAATGATTAAGTCCCACAAGTAAATAACTGATAAAGTTTATAGTCAACCTCTCCTACCACCTTGCCTTATTTATCTAACTTTATGAAACCAACCAATATAAGCATAGGAAATCTTAAGCAACTGTCAAAAGCAAATTTATTTGTCCATAGAAGAGAAGAAGAAAATGTAAAATTATACTGACTATTCTATCTGCACCTCAATCAAAAGCAAAGTAATTTTACTGTTTCAACGTGCTAACATGTTAAAGAATATAAACAAGAAAAGGTCATATCATTGTACCATGCTTACTTCCAACCTTGTCAGCCTATGAGTGAAACTTCATAAACAATGAAGTACTATGATTCTAAACATCCAAGTCAAACATGTCATACTAATCCCACTTTATGTTAACTTTATATTAACACTTCTTGTTGTTATCAATATTACTTTTAATTTAGCTATGTAAAAACACTATGCTAGGCACTTCACAGACATTACCTCTAAACCCCACCTCGAATGGTAGCAATTGTTAGTACCATTTTATAAATGAGGACTCTGGCTTCAAGAGTTACAAGTCTAGCCTAAAATTTCACATTCAATAAATGTGGAAGCTGGAATCTGAACTGAAGGTCAAAGTCCATTTTCCTTTCATGATACCAAATCACAACCTCACCTCTGTTTAAATAAAGCCCTTATGTACTAATTTAAAAATAAATATTTTAAAATATTACCTTTCTACAAATTCTCAAAATGTACTTCCAGTAATAATTTATTTCTGAAATAACCATTAAAATAAACAAAAGTTCCTTTTTTGTTTTTGTTAAAATACATGTAGTGTAAATTTGATATAAAACTATCACGAGATAAAATAATTTTTTCTTCTATAAACAACAAAGAAGAAACAAACCTGTGTAGTCTTTCCAGATCCAGTTTCTCCTACAATCAAAACTACTTTATTTTCCTTAATTATTTTAACAATTTCTTCTTGTTTCTCAAACACTGGCAGAGACTGCCTGAAAGAATCAAATTCAGATTCTCCTCTTTTCACTGGAATCTGAGATATGCCACTGTTGAGTCGCCCACTTGTCTTGCTCATTTCCCGGTTTTCTTTGAAAATGAATAAGAGAACAAAAAAATTTATGATCAACAATAAAAAGAGTTAAAAAACAAAAATAAGTAATTTCTAATGTAATTCCTTTCAAGTGCTTCTTCTCTACTCAGTCTAAAGTTAAAAAGCAATGCATCAGCTGTTGTACTGCCACACAATATTCTTAGAGAATGTTACACATTTTTATATCAATCAGAAGGCAAATTTCCCAAAAGTATTTCTGGTGCACAATGTTTAAAAATGAAAATCAATCATTCAAAAATCATTAAAAATAAAACCCAATTTTGATATCCTAAAATAATTTTCAGCCTTGTTTCTATCAATTATAACACAGAAAATTATAATTTTAGAGTTGGACACAATGTATATTATACTTATAAATTCTGTTACATACAGTATGAAAACACATATGAAAAATAAAAAACCCTCTATGTTTAAAGTTAGCATGTAAGATCATGTGATCAAACAGAATGATATGTGTAAATATAAGGTCCTAATGCTTAACAAATCTCCTAATTGTGCATTTTAGCCAACATCTACATTTAAGCAGATAGGAATACAAAAGGCATGATGTGTTTTATACTCTTCACATAACTCAAAATATTTTTATGTGCATGTATTTTTAAAACTCCTTGATAGCTAGCACCATCCATTTCTACATTCTGCAAACATACTCCACCAATAGAAATTATGCAGATTCTTTCACTGGAGATAATAAAAGAAATAACTTTCTCATTAGAAAAGTTATTTTTCCAAATAGTAAAATTACTTCATTTTATAACCTAAATATATTTATTTATCTACCTTTGAGCAAGTTAATGTACTGAAGACTCTGTCCTGTCTCTTCCCAGAAGCTAAAGTCCCAATTCAAAATCCCACTCATTAGTATGTCACGGCAGCATAATATAGGAAAGTTCAGACTTTGGAGTCACATCCCAGCTTTGTGGTTTACTGGCTGGTTGAGTGGCCTTGAACAAATTTAACTGCTCTGAGCCCCAGTTTCTTCACCTGTGAAATAGGGGAAATTCTTACCTTGCAAGGGTTGCTATGAGGCTCTATGTAGAGTTTAGTATACTGTCTAGCACACAATAAGTGCTCAATAAATGTTTAGCTATTACTGTTAACACTTTACAAAAAACCCTAACTTAATGACATGCCTTAACACTGCAATTCATTCCAAAATCTTCACAACTCTTAATCATTTCTAACCAACTATTCAAATTGAGAAATCATATTTCATGTTAGTTTTTAAAAATAAATTTTAAGTGGAAAAAGAACAGTCAAGAAATAATAGGATAAACAAGGAAGCTCCCCAGAAAATACATACCAGCTTCAACTGCAAACACATTTCCTCTTTCTGTTTTAGGCAGAAGTTCAGTACGCTCTTTACTGGTGACAGGAAATCTTTGAATTAGGCTCCTAACAGCATGTTTTGTATTATGAGTCAAATTACAGGTCATCATTGCATGAGCTGTTTCTGATCCATCTTTCTTCTTCACAGTTAGGTATCTACTTGCTCCCTTTCTGAATATTAATAAAAATCATTTATTTACTATATATAGTCAATTTGTTCACATATGATGTATGGCTACTTAGAAAACATGTCTCAAGCAAAACACTGAAAAAGATCAAAATGCTCTGGGATAAGATGCTGGAAATCCCAGAAAATTCAGTAAAGAGGAATTTAATGCTAAACTGTCCACAAGACCATTTTCAATTAAAATTTCAAAATGCTGCAAATCCAATTTTAAATCAGCAAAAAAAAAAGGCTTACTTACCCTTAAGTGTTAAAGTTTGTCTTAGCAGCCTTCATGGTGGATGAAACATCACCAGTTAATACATGCTGGGAAACATATAGAGGGAGAAAATCAATTTGAACAACAGAATCTAAAATTGATAATGAAAACATTATGGTGGTCCAATTATAACAGTGGTCCAGACTAATATATCCCACTGAATGTTTCTCCAGTATGCTGGTAATGTCACACTCCCATGAAAACCTGTTAAGAAAGCCAAGTTTAGTGGTTGGACCAAAAAAACATAAATCAGCACTACTGATAAGTATTTTCAGATGTATACTGGGGGAAAAAAAAAGTTTTTCAAAGCTTCTGACTCTAGCCTTCAATTATAAGGTAATGATGATTTATAACTGTTCTCAAGTTACCTGATGTAGGTATATTTACTTCTTTAAATGGTCCTAATTATGTCTTTGATGACTTCTGTAGCTTTAGGAGTACTAAGTACAATGTTATACACACAGGAAGTCCTCAAATGTATTTTGAATGATTTAATAATACATGTCTATAATCTAGTACAATGTAGTACTGTAAAAAGCTTGGGTTATGAAAGCAAACAGACTTGGATTTGAATCCTATCTCTACCACCTACTAGCTGTGGGACCACAAGCAAATTATTTAATAGCTCTGAGCCTAAGATGATGATAATAATAATAATAATAATAATACCTGCCTCAAAAGACCCTTCATATGATTAAATAAGATAATGCATGTAAAGGGCAGTATCTGCTACAAAGTACACATTAAATAAATGAAAGCTATTATTATAATTATAGCCAGGAAAAAATATCGTTTCTTGTGCCAAAAAGAGTTACACAAAACATTTCATAAAATGTTTTGCCATTTGTTAATGCCACTATCATATTATAGAAATGAGCAACAAAGCCACAAATACAATGAAAATTATATATATAATTTTACTAATTCTAAATTAAATTTTAGAATTTTCCTAATTCCTAAATCTAATTTAAATATTTTCAACAATATCTTCACTATAGAGTGACATGAAACTGAAGATTAACCTATACAGCCTTAGCTATCTAAGTCTTCTAAGTGAGGCTTTCAATTTACCAAGATTTTTAATTTCTGGAAACTCCTCAATGAATTATACCCTTTCTATGCCATCATCTACTCCTGGACAAGTGCTTAGTGATGCTTAAATGATGGCATAAAGATGAGCTTATTAAAATCTAACTGATCTAGAAATTTTAGTCATTTCCATGGTAAATCAGAATTATTGGATTCTAGAGATGTTCTCTGTAGTAGGTTCTTTTCCCATGGACTTTTCTGAAACCTCAGTACAGTCATGATAGACTCAATCATTCATTCCCCTTCTGTTCCATGTACTTCATAAAATTTTAACTATAGAAGGCCAGAAGTGTGCTGAAATGAGCACTAGAGCAACAGTCAGGAGGCTTGTGTTCAGCTAGTAATAATCTTTCAATTAACTAGCTATGTGATCAAAAATAAATCATTTTACTTCTCTGACACAGAATTTTAAAACCTCTAATATTTCTATCAGCTCCAAGATGCTTTAATTTTCTCAAAAATCATCTCAGGAAAGTTTTGCTATATTTCACTTTTAATTTTATTTTATTCATTCATTCAATCATAATCATTCATCATATATTGATTACATACTGTAGGCCAGGCACTATGCTAGAAGCTACGATTACAAAGTTGAGGAAAATATACTCCTTCCTCAATAAGCTCACAACTAAAATAACAGGTCAGATTGAAACTTTCCTAACATAGGTTGCCTAATAATAATTCAGCATTAATCTATAACAATAACTCATACTAAGCAAGTGTGAGTACTTAGTCATTACCATTTACAATTTACTAAATTCAGTTTGAACCCAGATGGTGGGACAGAAAGAGAATATCAACTTGATAGTTTTTATGTTTTAGTAAAAAAATTCTATTATTAGTGCTATTAGGGCTCACTCCTACCCCATTCAGCACCACAGTGGCACTGATATATAATTAAAAAATTAGTGAAATTTTGGCAAAATATTCACCTCATTATTGTGTGGATGAAAACATTCAATATAGTAGAGTTGTCCTACTATGTAAACTAACACACTGAAATCTCATCATCATGCTTTCATTCCAAGGTAACCAACACTATAATTTGATGAATATCTAGTAGTTCCCTTTACACAGCAAAACTGACTAGAAACTACCTGCACAACATGGAAAAGATGCTAGATAAATGAACTTCACAAGAATTTTTTTAAATAATAACATGTAAGCCCTATATGCCATATTTAAGTATAAAAGTAAATGGCCTACAAATACAGATAAGAACATCATAACTTCTAACTTTCAAAGGGAAAAGTAATCATGCATGTTATAATGAAGTTATGACATTTCAATAGCTTCTTCTTTTTAAAGAAAAATGATGATATAACTAATCAAATTTGATGCAATTTTAATATTAATAAATGTTTCATTTACACAGCATGTTACTGAGTAATCTACCTCAAATACAACCATACATCTTGCTATTCCCCACTTTACAAACCTGAGAACAGTTTAAAAATCTGCTCAAGAGCCAAAATCTGAAATCACTGCTTAAAAAGCTCACAGCCACCAAGGAGCTAATGCCTCTAAAAAAATACACATTTGTTTGATGTCTAGTATATACTTAATTTCATATCCCTTTAATTTATACTTCCACTAAGCAGACAGATGCAAAGATCTAACTCCAAACCATTTTCTCCTCAATACTGTAATACAAAATTACAAATTTATTAAAGTTTGAATCATACAAATTTGTGCTTTATTACGATTACCTAGAAAATAATAAACCAAACAAGTTATTTTTGTCACTAAACACAATTATTTTCATGTGATGCTATGTTTGTGGTAAATTTTTTTCTTTTTGTGACTTAATGGACAATAAGCAACTTAGAGATGAGCTTTATCCAATATCTCTGTCTTAACTCCTCGCAGTTCCTAAAACACTGTTATGAACTCACTGTGAAAAACAAAAATTAATTAGCTAAACATTAACTAGGTCTGATTGCTGGCTCTGCCACCTGCTAGCTGTGTGATCTTGGGAAAACTATTTAATTCTCTAAGCTCGAATTGCCTCATCTGTTATACAGGCACCAGGTATTGAAAAAATAGAACCTACCATACAAGACTGTTGTGAGGATCAAATAATCTACTTAAAGCACCTAGCACAATGCCTGTTGCACAAGAGCACTTAATAAATGTTAGCTACTGTTACTATTATTACTGCGCACTGTAGGGGTTTATTTAATGGATATCCAAAACTTCACTAACAGGGTTCATCACTTTTAACCCATTTTCTGTTTTAGCTAGGGGAAGAGAGGTGGAGTGCGGTATGCAATCTTCCATGGCAGGAGGTAAGGGAGGCAGTAACTCAGATCTGAAAGGGGGTCTTGTTGTACGGTAGAGCCTCCTGGTCAGGGTGAGTAGAATAACTGGATACCTATTAAGCAGCACCTTCAGCAATCACAGGATAAAAAACCTGTACTTGGAAAAACCTACTTTCATACACTTTATATTTTCTCTTTCCACAAGTTTTTAACAAAGTTCATCTTGTAAATTTCTTTTTGTCTAACTTGGACTAAGAAGAATTGGAAAGAATTTTGTTTTATTCATGAACAAATTAAAGACTCAAAAAAGTGTGCTCTTAGAACCAAAACACAGTGACATAGGTTGAGGAAAAACAGAACAAATTACAAGGAGGTGAAATTTGGGGTATGGGAAAACTTGACTGGAATGTCTAAGAAAACGTTAGGATATAGTGAAGAACACAAAATGGGGGTGTTACTCCAACAAGAGTATTTTTACCAAAAGATGAGCAATTATAAAGAAAATAATCAATTCAAAGTAAACCCAACTCTCTAAGAGGAGATGAAAAACAAAATCCAACACATGTGGCCTTCATTTTGAAAGAAAGGAGATTTAAAAAAATTAAAAAGTGATCAGAAAAAAAAAAAGCTGTAAATTATCACACAGTAAGTCTGGAATCTGTTTTTTAAAAACCTTGTAAGAAACTCAAAATAAACTACGGGATCACAGAATCTTAACCAACACATAGAGATTAACTCCTTCATTTTTTACATTTAAGAAAACAGGCCTTTAAAGTTAAGGGACATGACCAAAGCTAAAGAACAAAGCAGTGACAGACTGGGATTAGAATCCAGGTTTCTTGTCCTTTCCTCCACACCTCTCAAATAGGTATTATGGAATCATAATACCAGGCACAAAAAAAAAAAAAACAAACACACAACAGAAAGACTAACTTAACAATTATTAACTAACTTAACTATCCTAAATTAACAAAGTTAATTCTAGGAGGTTAAAAATAAAAGATCTTTACTCAAGAGTGAACAGAAAAACCCATACAAGTCAGGTACAAATTCTCATATAAATGAAAAGAAAGGATTTAAGAAATATATTCAAAGTGATTTAGTTCTTTATATATGTAAAAAGAAGGAAAGGCATTTGAAAATGACAAGGACCACTAGAAAAACATTGTACTAAGTTTGCTCAAAGATAAAAAGGGATTGGGAAAGAGCTAGGACATTTACTAAGAAGAGGATTTATGGAACACTAGATATAGGGAGTAGGGATGAGATAATAGGTGGGGTTGCCTTGATTCCCTTAGCATCTCTTTCCTGTTTCCTCTTTCTGTCTCTTCAATGTTTCTTCATCCCCCTTTTTTTGTCCTGATAACTTGCTCTCCCCTTCCCCCCCAAACTTTTATTCGTCTCTGGACCATCCTTTAAAGGATCATGCTACTGAACAAAAGTAGAGGTAGTCTAGTCCAATGGACTGCTTTTCTAAGAGTAATTTCTAAAGTTCATTTCCAAGTTCACTGTTTAGAATTAAAAACCCATGTAACCACAGAAATGATGTAGCTGCAGAACAGTGTGTTTATAACAGATATTTTCTAGTGCAGGCCCACAATCTCTTATCTACTACCCTTAAATCCAAACAGCTCTGAAAAGTGGCAGACTTCTGAAAGTCTGCAGCAACTTCATTTGGCAGCAAAGCCTGGTTAAATTAACATGAAGCTATTTATGATCTTTATTTACCTTAGTGTCAATAATCATACATTTTTCAGCAAGAAATATAACATACTGCTAATATACCCTATTGCCTTTCTGAAATCTGAAAATCTGCATCTCAAAACATATTTGGCCCAGGCCCTTTTGGACAAAGGATTGTGGCCCTGCGCCTTCTTTTTATTTTCAAGTGCAATATTTTACCTATCCAGATGACTATAATATGGGTGGAAACTTCCCAGGACGCCAACACTGCTTTTAGTGATGTTCAAAGTGCACATGCACCTAAGCTACATCCCTTGTCTCAGTCAGTAACTGTATCATCACTATGGTGGACATTCATATGAAAGACATTGCAACCTCAGCTACTTTCACCTTAGGACCTTCTATTTAGTTATTAATATATTTACTTAATTAAGGCTTTGTTTTCCCTCTTCTTAACCTAAAAGCTGGAAGCTGAAATTTCATCTTTTTTTCCCCCAATCTCAGTGGTTCTCAACCAGGAGCAATATTGCTCCCAGGGAAGATTTTGGAAATGTCTAAAGACATTTTTGGTTGTCACAACTGGGGGTGGAAGTGTTACTGGCATGTAGTGGGTAAAGGCTAGGTATGCTACTAAACATCCTACAATGCACAAAATAGCCCTCCACAATAAAGAATTATACAGTCCAAAACGTCAATAGCACCAATACTAAGAACTCTATATCAATCCCATCATTCTTATTCCCAAAATGAAATAACTCCACAGAATTTTAGAGTTCTTCAATATGGATGGCTCAAATGACTTTTCCCCACTATGGATAAGTGATCTTCAAAAAATATTTAAGTTTCCTCTTGTTCAGTTTTATTTAATCAGTTCTAATCATCAGATTCGTGACTTGGTATGAAAAAAAACAACAAGCATGTGTTCTAAAACCATACCATTATAGTACAGTAGCATTAAAAGAGAAAAGTTCTGTAAATAATTGTACTTATTATTTTTAGTCCATCCATTCTTCAAGAAAAAAGTTTTGGTTTCCATACAAGAAGAGAATACCTTTCTCAATGCAATCAACTTCAACTTTTAAACCATTCTCTTTACATCTTAAAATTTACCTTCTTCTCCCACTCTCCCCCAGTCAGGGAAAACAAAAAAGGGGGACAGTAAGAAAAGCAAAGAGCTGAGTTTGGTACAGACATGAATCAGATCATCTACACACAATATAATTAAGGATGTGAATCTAACTAAAGCAGTAATAACTATTTAGTCAAAAACATTTCTCTTTTTCGGTAAGTAATTTTTTCAATTAAGAAAACTTGTCAGCTTACCCTTTACTTTTAGAAACCAAACCAAGAGACTGACTCAATCGATGAATAAAGGCTCTTTCCGTACTGGTCAAAGAAGAAGGAAATTCCATTTCTACATGGAAAAAAACACAAAGCATCATTTGTGGATCGGCAATTTTCCTTCAAGGTACTTCAAAACACATATATGTTTATAAAATATGAAAAATCATATAAACATATAATCAAATTATCATATTTTATGTGAAAAATAGATATAAGCATTCCTAGGAGATACTGTGGGTTTGATTCCAGACCCTTGTAATAAAGTGAATATCGTAATAAAGCAAGTCATACAAATTTTTTTGGTTTCCAGGGCCTATGTTGGTTTGTTGGTTTCCAGGGCCTATGTTATGTTTACACTACACTGTAGCCTATTAAGTGTGCAACAGCATTATGCCTTAAACAACAACATACACAATTAATTTAAAAATCCTTTATTGATAAAAAATGCTAACCATCATCTGACAACATGGAGTTGCCACAAACCTTCAATTTGTAAAAAAACACAGTATTTGCAAAGCACAATAAAGTGAAGTGCAATAATGAGATATGCCTGTACTAATTAACCACTGAATGTCTACCAGAATTCTGATATTAATAACATTTAAACCTAAATGTGACAAAGGACCCTGATGTTCACCAAAGATTAGTCCTCTTGTGCTGAAATCTTGAGCTCCTGATGAACATATTTTACTATCTTAACTTACTTGCTTAACCAACAAAATGTTTATTTCCTTCAAGGATGAGGTATGCTCAAGTATTATGAATGCTCAGTATCAGATTCCAGTGTCTTTGCCTTCAAAAACTGCATAGAATCCCTATTTCACTGTCTCAGACTGGATATGATGCTGTATATTTCTGGCGCTTCACCTCTGTTTAATGAAAGTTCAGAATCACTCTGTCCAGGTCCTTTTTTGGGGGGAGAGGGAAAGACTCTAAGCTTCCAGAATAAGGGGTCCTCTACTTAGAGCAGCAAATCGGAATGAGCTCTCAATATGCTGTACTGATCACAGGTCAGCTGCTGGTTCTGCACTGTGTGACCCAAGACAAGTAGCTTTCCAACCTTAAGAGGTATGGAAGACGTTTCGTCTAACAGAACGAGTTACTTTTTTTTTTTAAGTGTTTAGAGTGATACTTCCAGGATGTAAACAAAGCACTACATATTGCCACTGCATTTATTCGTCGAATTTTCTTCTGTTCCTCTACTTCCGAAACTCAAACTAAACGTACCTCGATTAAGGCTACCACCACCTCCTTTAAAAAAAAAGAAAAAAGTAGAGGCTTAACAATACCTAAAAGTTGTGGCAAAGCTACCGAAAGGCCTCTCCCTGGGGAAAGAAATGCCTCCTGCAGTTGAGCAACCTGATTTTCGTGCCTTCGGACGCCGGACAAGTGCCCCGTAACCCGGCTGAGCCGCAGGACGCCACGGGGCTCTTCACATCCCCAGGCAAGGCTCACAACTCTGGCCCCAGCCCCGCGCCCGCTTCGCCCGGGCCCGGTGGACCGCCCCCGTTTCCCCTCCCTCCGGTGAGGCAGCCCCTTCCCACGAGGGACCGGGCTTCCGGGAGGTGGGGCAGCCGGCGGGGTCCCTGTCGGGAACCTCACCTCTCTGGTCCCCGTATCGGAAACGCTCCAGAGCGATATTGACCGCGATCTTCACCTCCTCGTCTATACGAATGTCCTTCAGCCCCTTGGCCCGGCCGCCTCCCGCAGGGCCACACGGCACCGGGCCGCTGCCGCCGCCCCCTCCAGGAGCCGACGGCCGGTGGGAGACGCTACTCGGCCTGGACATGGCCCTGAGGAGGTGTTCTCCTCGCGGTACAGCGGCCAGGCCTGCTGGCTGACGGCCAACGACAGGGAAAGTGGGCCTCGGGGGCCTTGGCGGGTTCAAACGGCTCCACAGGCTACCTGCGCTGGATCGGGCTCACCGGAAAGCTCCCGGTGTCCACAACAGCCGATGAGGCGCCGGCGGCGCTAGAGCGCCAGCCGGGCAGAGAGCGCGGGCGTGATGACGTCACCGGGGCCGGCGCCGGTGACCTCAGCACGCCGACTGTCCCTGGCGTCCTGCGCGCTGCGTCCAAATCTCCAGCTCCCTGTCGAGCTGGTTCTCCCTGTCGTCTCCTGTCCCCACGCACCGCCCCCCCGCACCGTCCCGAGGGCCTCTCGTTCAACCACTTATTCAGTCGCTCGCTATTTGGTTAAATCATTAATTCATTCAGTAAGCATGTGTGGGCTTCTACTATGTGCCCTAGATATACATTGGGGAACCAGACAGAAAGGGCTCCTGCCTTCGTGGATTTTACATTCTAGTGGGGGTAGAGTTGCCAGATTTAGTAAACAAAAATACAGGATGCCCAGTTTATTGGAATTTCAGATAAGGAACACAATTTCAGTATAGGTATTTCCCATGCAATATTTGGGAGCACACAGAGTAAAGAATTATTCGGTACCTGAAATGCAAATTCAACTGAGTGGCCATATTTTATCTGGCAACCCTATATGGGAATAACAGACAGTAGACAAAAAAATGATTAAAGGTAGTTGTAAGTGCTATGTGAGATAATGGAATAGGAAGATGCAACCCTTTAGTTTGGAATGTCAAGGAAGATTATGAGAATGTCCATTTGCTTGTATACAATTCCACTAACATAAACCTCAACCCAGCCACCCTAATTGCTTCCACTCTAGTCTTCCTATTATCCATTCTCCAGAAAGCAACTAGAGTGATCTTTTTAAAAACACAGTTGGCTTTCAGTATCTTTGGGTTCCTTATCACTGCTTCAACCAACCACTAAACCAAAAAAAAAAAAAATTTTAATTCCAGAAAGTTCCAAAAAGCAAAACTTGAATTTACTGTGCACTGCAACTATTTACATAGTATTTACATTGCATTAGGTATTATAAGTAATTTAGAGATTATTTTAAGTACATAAGAGGATGTGTATAGGTTATATACAAATATTACTGCCATTTTATACAAGGGACTTGAACATCCTTGCATTTTGGTATCCTCAAGGAGTCCTGGAACCAATCCCCACAGATAGAGAGACAACTGTACAAGCCAAGTAGGTTAACACCCCTACACAAGGCACTCCAATTGCTCCCCATTGCAACTATAAAACACCCTCAATTCCTTACCATGACCCTGAAGACCCTGCCTAATCTGGCCTCTGTCTACCTCCCACCATTCTCATCCTCACAGTGCTCAAATGCACTAATTTCTTTCTGTCCCTTGAACACAACAAGCTTATTACAGCAGGGGAACTTTCCACTTGCACAGTTTTCTCCTGCACATGACAATCTTCCTCCCAGTACTTCACATGGATGCCTCTTTCTCCTCATATAAGCCAGGATTCCATCCGTTACCTAGATAGGCTCTCCCACATCAACCCATTATCATTTACCACTGTTTGAAATTATTTTGTTTATTTATATATTTATTATTTGCTCTTTTCACTATAATATAAGCTTTTTAGGAGCAGGAACCTTATCTTGTTTGTCACTGTTTCAACAGTAGCTAGAACTGTATGGTCATACAATAAAATTTTATTGGTTTTCCATATTGTAGAATCTGGAATTAAGATTTGTCATCTCTATCCTCTGAAAACTTTCTTCGTAATCCTTGGGATCCTAATCAATTTGATTTGCTACTAGAAAGAGTTCTGGATAAGCAGAAATAAGTCCTGTGTCCTGGTCCTGTCATGGTTACCAGTGAACTGTGTGAACATTTTCTACTATGTTGATCCTAATTTCCTTAGCTGTTCGTAATAATGCCTGCCATTTATTAAGTGCCCAGGGGCACTGTCTTTATTTTTCCAATCCTCACAAAACCATATGAAGTAGTTATATTACCTCATGATACAAATGAGTAAACAGGCTGGATGAGGTTAAAAACTGGTCCAAGGCCATGCTAGTGATAATTAATGAGGTAATAGAAAAAAAGCCCAGCTGATCATGAGGCCTAGCTTCATTCCAGGACAAATCATAAATAGAAGATAATACCTGGATGCACCAAATATATTGTGATAAAACTGAAAACATTTTATGTGGGGTAAGACACATATTGCTTTCAATTTCACTCGATAACCTCTTTGTTCCACACTTTATTGGCTCCATCATTTATTAGCTTTGTGACTTGACTACTTACTTTGCCTTCTGAGCTTCTGGTTTCCCATCTGTAAAATGGGTATATTTAATATTCATTTTATAGTATTGTGAATTTGACATAATATGTAAGTATTAGGCATTGATCTAATGTGTGCTTCTTCTTTCCTTTATTTTGGAATAAATGCCAAAATATTTGTATTCCTAGTACCTAGTAAACATATGGAATATGTTCATTGAAATAAAAGAGAATATTTACTTAAGTTACATAGCAGTAAATTATAAAGTCAATCAGATTCTACATTATCTAATGTTTTTGCATACTCCTAGAAATTTCTGGTGCTTAGGGTGAACACTGCAATTCTACTTTTTACATGTGCTTCAGAAAAAAATTAAAAATAAGGAAGATATGGAATATTTACAAATGATTTCAAGTTGAACTTACTGTCAGATAGACCTAAAGTTTTTTGTTTTTTGTTTTCTGTTTTTTGCTGTACGCGGGCCTCTCACTGTTGTGGCCTCTCCCGTTGCCAAGCATAGGCTCCGGACGCGCAGGTTCAGCGGCCATGGCTCATGGGCCCAGCCGCTCCGCGGCATGTGGGATCTTCCCGGACCGGGGCACGAACCCGTGTCCCCTGCATCGGCAGGCGGACTCTCAACCACTGCGCCACTAGGGAAGTCCCAGACCTAAAGTTTTAATCTTTGTTTTTGCCACTTTATAGTTATGGCCTTGTGCAAGGACTTAATCTCCCTATGCTTTAATTTACCCATCCATAAAATGTGTGTGATAAAAACACCTATATCACAGCATTATTATGGGAATTAAGTTAGGCTGTATTACCTTTATGCAGATGAAGTACTTAGTACAATTCCTGGCTCATCCTTAGCATTCAGTACTAACTAGATGCTTTTGACTTCAAGTAACAGGAAACCAAAGATTAAAAAAAGGCCCAAAATAAGGACATTTATCATCTTACATAGCAAGAAGTCTTAGGATAGGGTGGTTCCAGGAATGATTAGTTCAACATTGTACATCAATGCCCTCAGTCATGCAGAATCTGTTCAGCTTAGCACTCTGCCTCCTAAGAGTGTTTGACACTCCCCTCTTGGTTGCAGATCCAAGTAAGCACATCATCACACAGAACCAGATAAAGGCAAGATAAGTGCCCCCATCTGATGTTTCTTTTTAAGGTAAAGAAAAACTTTCCTAGAAGTCCCAGACATAGACATCCTTATGTCTCCTAGCCAGAACATGGCTAACCCAATAACCAGCAAAGAAAAATGGGATTACCATGAAAGGTCTGGTCTTTTTTGAACGAGGTGGTCACCTAGAAGAGAATGGAGAAAATTGGGGTTCTCATAGCAAGTAAAAAGGGATGGAGAATGACTACTGGGTAGGCAACCAAAGATATTATGGTAGTCAGCAGTGATGTTTGTCAAATATTTCTGGTTTTCTTTCTTCCCAGGGATGTCCCAGAACTATACTTCCTGGCCCTGTTTCAGTTAGGTGGGAACATATGATTAGTTCTGGGCAAGGAGGAGTGAGTTGAAGTGCTATGTTTCACTTTCATGTTGACCTCACTTTTCGCTGCAGTTAGCTGCAAACAACTAACAAAACATGTCTAAGAAAGAAAAGTGAATTTATCTTATTACAAATTATTTAAAAACTACAAAAGAACATTGCTGAGAAAAACTTAAAGACAAACAAATTAAAACATATACTGTGTTCAGGAATCAGAAGACTCAGTAGTGTTAAGATATCAACTCTTCTCTCATTAGTCTATGAATTCAACATAATCCCAATCAAAATCCCAGCACATTTTTTTTCTAAAAAAGTAACAAGCTGATGCTTCATATGGAAATGCACTAAAATAGCCCAAACAACTTTGAAGCAGAAAAAAAGTTTGAGGGCTAACACAACCTGATTTAAAGACTTAGTATAAAGCTGCATTCAACAAGATAGTGTGGTACAGACATAAAGGTGAACAAATAGATCATTGGTACAGAATAGAGTGTCCAAAAATAGACCCACATATATTTGGACAACTGACTTTTGACAAAGGTATAAAGATAATTCACTGGAGAAAGGCTGGCCTTTTCAACAAGTTGTGCTGGAACTGAATGGCCAAATGCAAATAAGATTTTAAAAATAATCCCAAACCTTCCCTCACCCTATACACAAAAGTTAACTCAAAATGGATTATAGGCATTACCTAAATATAAGAGGTAAAACTACAGAACTTCTCGAAGAAAACATAAGAGAAAATCTTTGTGACCTTAGGTTACACAAAGATCTTTTTAGATATAACACCAAAAATACAAACCATTAAAGGAAAGAATTGATAAATTGGATTTCATCAAAGTTAAGAATTTTGCTCTTTGGGAGCTTCCCTGGTGGCGCAGTGGTTAAGAGTCCGCCTGCCAATGCAGGGGACACGGGTTCGATCCCTGGCCCAGGAAGATCCCATATGCTGTGGAACAACTAAGCCTGTGCGCCACAACTACTGAGCCTGTGCTCTAGAGCCCACGAGCCACAACTACTGAGCCCATGTGCCACAACTACTGAAGCCCACACACCTAGAGCCCATGTTCTGCAACAAGAGAACCATGACAATGGGAAGCCTGTGCACTGCAACGAAGAGTAGCCCCTGCTCGCCGTAGCTAGAGAAAGACTGCACATAGCCACGAAGACCCAACACGGCCAAAAGAATTTTGCTCTTTGAAAGACATTGTTAAAAGAATGAAAAGATAAAACCCAGACTGGGGGGAAAAATTTGCAAATCATATATCTGATAAAAAGCCATGTCCAGAATATATAAATAACTCTCAAATACCATAATAAGAAAACAAACAACTCAATGTTT